AGAAATTGAGAAAAATATTAGTGCTGAAGGAGTAATTCAATGTGGGTGGTAAATTTTCTGAATTTTTTGAGAAATGGTTATAATAGAGCAAAATAAGATGGTTTAGTCAACGCTAAAGTTTGACGCTTTTTGCGGGGTTTCTGTTGTATTAATCGTGATCAATACTACTAAATTTTGTAGATTAGGGTTTGAAATTGAGAAAAATATAAGTGCCGAAGGAGTAATTCATTGTGGGTAGTAAATTTTCTGAATTTTTTGAGATATGGTTATAATGGAGCAAAATAAGATGATTTAGATAACGCTTAAGTTTGACGCTTTTTGCGGGGTTTCTATTGTATAAATCGTGATCAATACAACTGAATTTTGTAGATTAGGGTTTGAAATTGTGAAAAATATAAGTGCCGAAGGAGTAATTCGTTGTGGGTAGTAAATTTTCTGAATTGTTTGAGAAATGGTTATAATAGAGCAAAATAAGATGGTTTAGTCAACGCTAAAGTTTGACGCTTTTTGCGGGGTTTCTGTAGTATATATCGTGATCAATACTACTAAATTTTGTAGATTAGGGTTTGAAAATGTGAAAAATATAAGTGCCGAAGGAGTAATTCGTTGTGGGTAGTAAATTTTCAGAATTTTTTGAGATATGGTTATAATAGAGCAAAATAAGATGATTAAGTTAACGCTTTAGTTTGACGCTTTTTGCGGGGTTTCTGTTGTATAAATCGTGATCAATACTACTAAATTTTGTAGATTAGGGTTTGAAATTGAGAAAAATATAAGTGCCGAAGGAGTAATTCGTTGTGGGTAGTAAATTTTCTGAATTTTTTGAGATATGGTTATTATAGAGCAAAATAAGATGATTTAGTTAACGCTTTAGTTTGACGCTTTTTGCGGGGTTTCTGTTGTATAAATCGTGATCAATACTACTAAATTTTGTAGATTAGTGTTTTTAATTGAGAATTATATGAGTGCCAAAGGAGTAATTCATTGTGGATAGTAAATTTTCTAATTTTGGTGAGATATGGTTATAATAGAGGAAAATAAGATGATTTAGTTAACGCTAAAGTTTGACGCTTTTTGCGGGGTTTCTGTTGTATAAATCGTGATCAATACTACTAAATTTTGTAGATTAGGGTTTGAAATTGAGAAAAATATAAGTGCTGAAGGAGTAATTCAATTTGGGTGTTAAATTTTCTGAATTTTTTGAGAAATGGTTATAATAGAGCAAAAAAATATGGTTTAGTCAGCGCTAAAGTTTGACGCTTTTTGCGGGGTTTCTATTGTATAAATCTAGATCAATACTACTAAATTTTGTAGATTAGGGTTTGAAATTGAGAAAAATATAAGTGCTGAAGGATTAATTCAATGTGGGTGGTAAATTTTCTGAATTTTTTGAGAAATGGTTATAATAGAGCAAAATAAGATGGTTTAATCAACGCTAAAGTTTGACGCTTTTTGCGGGGTTTCTGTAGTATATATCGTGATCAATACTACTAAATTTTGTAGATTAGGGTTTGAAATTGTGAAAAATATAAGTGCCGAAGGAGTAATTCGTTGTGGGTAGTAAATTTTCTGAATTTTTTGAGATATGGATATAATAGAGCAAAATAAGATGATTTAGTTAACGCTAAAGTTTGACGCTTTTTGCGGGGTTTCTATTGTATAAATCGAGATCAATACTACTAAATTTTGTAGATTAGGGTTTGAAATTGAGAAAAATATAAGTGCTGAAGGAGTAATTCAATGTGGGTGGTAAATTTTCTGAATTATTTGAGAAATGGTTATAATAGAGCAAAATAAGATGGTTTAGTAAACGCTAAAGTTTGACGCTTTTTGCGGGGTTTCTGTTGTATTAATCGTGATCAATACTACTAAATTTTGTAGATTAGGGTTTGAAATTGAGAAAAATATAAGTGCCGAAGGAGTAATTCATTGTGGGTAGTAAATTTTCTGAATTTTTTGAGATATGGTTATAATGGAGCAAAATAAGATGATTTAGTTAACGCTTCAGTTTGACGCTTTTTGCGGGGTTTCTATTGTATAAATCGTGATCAATACAACTGAATTTTGTAGATTAGGGTTTGAAATTGTGAAAATTATAAGTGCCGAAGGAGTAATTCGTTGTGGGTAGTAAATTTTCTGAATTTTTTGAGATATGGTTATAATAGAGCAAAATAAGATGGTTTAGTTAACGCTAAAGTTTGACGTTTTTTGCGGGGTTTCTGTTGTATAAATCGTGATCAATACTACTAAATTTTGTAGATTAGGGTTTGAAATTGAGAATTATATGAGTGCCAAAGGAGTAATTCATTGTGGATAGTAAATTTTCTGAATTTGGTGAGATATGGTTATAATAGAGCAAAATAAGATGATTTAGTTAACGCTAAAGTTTGACGTTTTTTGCGGGGTTTCTGTTGTATAAATCGTGATCAATACTACTAAATTTTGTAGATTAGGGTTTGAAATTGTGAAAAATATAATTGCCGAAGGAGTAATTCGTTGTGGGTAGTAAATTTTCTGAATTTTTTGAGATATGGATATAATAGAGCAAAATAAGATGGTTTAGTGAACGCTAAAGTTTGACGCTTTTTGCGGGGTTTCTGTTGTATAAATCGTGATCAATACTACTAAATTTTGTAGATTAGGGTTTGAAATTGTGAAAAATATGAGTGCCGAAGGAGTAATTCGTTGTGGGTAGTAAATTTTCTGAATTTTTTGAGATATGGTTATAATAGAGCAAAATAAGATGATTTAGTTAACGCTTAAGTTTGACGCTTTTTGCGGGGTTTCTGTTGTTTAAATCGTGATCAATACTACTAAATCTTTTAGATTAGGGTTTGAAATTGTGAAAAATATAAGTAAGAAGATATGTAAGAAGATTAAACCACCAATAAATTTATTATTGAATATATGGATGATGTATTTGGGCAGAGAATACCCGGTGATACATAAATAAAGACAATTTGTAACTTAAGTTTATCAAAATATAACATTGTGATAAGAAGAAAAACCTGCAAGTCAACCGAGGCTCACTGCGGCGGATGGAGTCTTTTTTATCTCGGAAATTTAAGCAAAATTCTTGCTAGTGTTGGTGCCATTTTGCCTAAAAATTCCTCTCTTTTTAAATAATTGTTTTCAACGATTGAATATAAACAATTTGATGCAAAAATTTGGACAAATTAACAAAAGTAATAATAAAAACATTAATAAATATTGTCCTTTGATCAAAATGCTTTTTTAATGTTTGTGATGACCTCGTTTCATTAAAATAAAAATAATAATAATAAATTGCTCAGCTAGCCATTGTTTCATTTTAACTGCATTATTATATGAGAAAATTTTCATTCATGAATTAGAATCGTTGTATATCATTCATGGCCAAGCAAAATATGTTAAACAATTCAGTTTTCCAGATCACTGCCCTGGTGAACAACATTCAAATACTTCTTGTTTCTTAATCTGGTCATCTTGCGATTAGATGCATTCCTTGGAACAAAACGAGAGAGATAAAACGGCGTTTGAGCAATGCAAAGGTTCCACTCGAGTTCAATTTGAATTAAAAACGCCAACAATGGTGTGCACAAGCGGTCACAAGCACAAGAAGAAGTGAAGCAACGTCCGTCCATTAATCTCAGACACACAGCGGCCCATTTGCATATTCATCTCTTCTCGGAATTATTTATTGTCGACCGGCCGGCTTGGAGAAAATTTATTTATGCTACAACAAGCGACCTAATACGTACTGCAGAAAATGTATATCTCTCGGCGGCTGGAGTGTGGATTTCTTGAATTTCCACCCAGACTCGTTATCCGCTCGGCATCAAGGAACTCCAGCTGAGCGTTTTTTTTTTATTCATCTCTATGGCACCGCGCGGAGTTCATTTCTCTTTATTTCTTTATTTTATTATTATTCTGCGCGATTCAAGGAAGTGCAATTCAAGTTCAGGACCAAATACAGATTCCAATTACGTATTGTTCGCCGGGTAGTCTTGGGAATTTAATTCTTCTGCTCACATTCGAAAGGGAGAGTTGTTGATCGAGATCAATTTATTTAGATGTCGGAGCTCGGAGAAGAAAAGTAATAACTGTGTTCGAGGCTGCTGTTAGAGAAACGTAATTATTACTTTTTGCTCTTTAATATGTACGTATCAGCGAGAAGAAGACAATTTAATCGCCACAATTAATAGAGCAGTTCTCGCAGCAACCACACGGTCTTGATAAAAATAGCTTGAAAATTGATGATATACTCAAGTGGTTAACGGTTCATGAAATTTTAGCACTATAAATATTTATTTTCTGTTCAACATCAAGTCTCCAGTCAAATATAATTTTCATGCCTTATATGAATTATAAATAAAATAATTTAAATGGAAAAATATTATTATAATAATAATAATAATGTTATATAATAAAGTCATGATATGAAAATAATTGTATAATTGTCATACAAAGCTTCACCAGTAAGAGACAAATCACATATAATTTACAAATATTATTCTAAATAGCTTAGAAGTTTGTATGATTTTTTAATATATTAATAAAAAAATGAATTTTACATACTATTATACTTAAAAATAATTATAACCATAGTTTAATAAACTTATCAAAAATGTTATTTTTATAAAAAAAACCCATAAAGTTAATAAATATATGTAAAATAAATTATGTTTATAATTTGAATAAAATTAAAAAAAATTTTATATTTTCAATAAATTTGTTACTTTTGCCGAGATGTAATAAAATTAATAATTAAAAGAATAAATTTTATATCAGCACATTGCAAAAATTGTTAAAAGATTCGATGCATACAAATTTAAAACCTGTATCTAAGATGATTTAAAGATGCATATTGTATTTTTTTTTTAGATAAAACATGTGTATCTTTAATGTGAAATAATTTAAAAAGTACAAGCAATTACAAAGTTTTTGTGCATAGTAAATAGTTGAAGTCAATTGTAAATATATTTTTAGAAAATTAAAATACAATTTCTTTTTTGTTTCAGCTTTGCTGGTTGCCGGCGTGAAGAAAGACTCAAACTGTCCACGGATATGTCCACCCGGCGGCGACCCGGTGTGCGGCTCGGACGACATCATCTACCCGAGCGACTGCGAGATGAGAAAGAAGACCTGCAATAAAGGTGGGTACAGAGAGAGCTGCAATGATGCGCTTCATAACTCAATCGCCAAAGCTGCGTCCAGAAAAATGTACCGTTCACATCCAGTCTCATTTCAACTTTCAACGCATTAGTCATAGCAACGAGTTATAAATTACTGTATTCTATAATCTCATATTATCGGTGTTTGCACGAGAAAAAGGAAAGAAACAAATAGAAAATAAACAATCGGGCGCGCTTCATTGATAATAATAAGCCGATGCGGTGTGGATTCAGTTATCAGGGCGGAACAGATTGTCTGGACCAGCTCTAGAGACCATAATTGAAAATGATGAGAAAATGCAGAAAATGAATAACTTCTTATTCTGATCCAGTTCATCAAGCGAAAAAAAAGGATAAGGAAATAATCTATGGTCAGATTTTTTTTACCAAATCATTGTTGAAATTAAATTAAATTAATATTTTGAATTAAATTAATTATAACAAGTAAAGGTTGTAATACGACGGAAACATTACATGACGTAATGTCACTTATGACACAATAAAAAAAAGGAATAATAATTATGAATGAATTTTTTACAATTAAACAAGAATATTGTAACATTCCCTTCAACCCTATCATTACAAAGTACTTTAAGAAAATTATGCAATTAAATGCTCCACCACTATTCTCATCAATGAGTTGAAATAAGGAAAACAATGCAATCTCTATAATATCATTAATTTTTTGCATTGTATGCATTAGTCTTGTTATTTTTTTAATGATATCAAAACATGCACGTGCTTGATTTTAGGAGTGCGTGTTTCTCGGCAGTCAGAGCAAATGTGCCAAAGATCGCAGGGCTCCAACTGCACGCACCGGTGCAACAAGGATTCTGACCCTGTTTGCGGCACGGACGGAAAAACCTATCTGAACAAGTGCTTCATGAAGATGGAAAATTGCAAGTAAGTTTGTTGCTCAATTACTTATTTGCAAAAACCTGATTTTTTTTTTTAATTTTTAATAAATTTCAAGAATGAACCAGAATGAACTTTGGTTATGGGTGAATTTGTAATGATGTAGTAAAAAATAGGTATCAGATGATCACTTTGTTTATTCATTTTGCTGTTTTTATTATAAATTTAAATTTTTTTCAACGCAGATAGAATACCATAACTTTATTATTAAATGCTAAAAAAATTCATCTAATCAAGGAAGTTCGCACAAGAAGAAATGGTCGTACAAGTCAGATCCCGATTCTTGGTCACTGCACCGGGTATCAAACCAACCGGTGGAGTTTGTGGATTCGTCAAATTCAATTGTGACACAGTGACTATCAATGCCTAAATCGTCTGGCTGATCAGCTGCCCAGTTTGTGTAGTTAAAAGGCTGGTCGTTTGTAGCCCAGTAAAAGTTTCCCTCGGAACCCAAGTCAGTTCCGGCAAGCCACAAAGAGTTCAAAGTTAGGTTTCCTAAAAGAATTGCAGTGCTTTTAAACATTTTTTCAAATTAAAATACTATTTACTCATTATTTCTGCCACTTCTGCATTTTTTTCTTCACTGTCCACGGTTGCAAGTCTCATATTGCCTAGCCTGGTGCAATTTGTCATTGCCATGTACCAGTTTGCCTTTAGATTTATTTAAAGGATAAATAATCATAATTTCAGAAATAACTGCTTTTATTTCACTAGATTAAATCAATTAATTTAATTCTGATGATAACTTACTTTCAACGAGCTTACAAAGTAGTTGGTTTTGACCGTCGGGTGCAGTTCTTGAATTAAAAAAGTTGTGAACGATAATTAATTATTTCCATGTATTCGAAATAAAATCTGCAAACCTATGAATCCATGACTTGCACAAAAAGTGGAAAGTAGCACAGTTAATAAAATTTTATCCATATTAAATTTTCAATATAATCTTAGATGAGCTTCAGAACTAACTAACTAATAATTATTTTTGTTGGCACCTTATAAATCTTTTGGCGTCTTGTAGAGGGGATTTGATGATCAATTAATCTTCCTAGAGAGATCAAATTGTCAAAATATATCTTTGCCATAGCAGCAATCCTTATCAATATTATTTTTTAAGTCGTGTCCAACGCTATTTATATGATCTCATTTACAAATTTTATCTAAATAAATGAAATAATCTGTTATCACCAACCACAAAATCAAACAATCATTTCTAGTCAGGCGTGAACGGTTTTGAACGATTTGATCAGGCGTGCTAATCAGCACGAGAGGATATATACGCGAAAAACAACACGCTTTGTAAGCGCCAAAGCACCCAAGGATCGCCCTGTTGCTCCTTTCGATATGCAAGCCTTGTCTTGGTCGTGATAAATGTTCAATTGTTCTAACGTAACGGTTAATCTTGGGTGTCTCGTTTTGGTCACATTTCAATATATAATATAGTTGATATGATATCAAATAAAATAGAATAAATCATTTTCATAAATTCATTTGGCCAAAATCACTAAAATTTTTATTTAATGTATTTTTTTTTTTATAAATTTATAACATTATTTTACAATAATTATTTTATCATTTTAACAATATATAATAAAAAAATTAAATCTAGTTTTGTATTAATATAATGTAAGTCAATAAAAATATCAAAATAATGATTAAATTAAACTATTTTATGATGTCCAAATACTTTAGCGCTAGGATAAGTGCCATATTGAACTAATTTAATTTTACTCTGAATTTCGTTTAAAAACTTCTGAAACATAAAATATAAAATAAAAATAGTAAAATCATAGTAATCATAACAGAACATCTATTAATTGTCTAGGAAAAATTTTTTCACTAAATTTTTAATCAACGCAAATTCATTACGTTCTCAGTAATTAAAAATTTTCATGTTTTTAGAACTGGTGCCGAGTTGTCGCACTTGGGTCCGTGCAGCAACATCACAGCCCACAGAGAAAACTGTCCGGTGGACTGCGACTCGGCGCCTAACGACGGCCCCATCTGCGGCTCAGACGGCAACGTGTACCCGAACACCTGCACCATGAAGCTGCTGACCTGCAGGCAAGTGTTGAATTTTATTTCAATCCTCAACCGAGAATGAAACAAGAGAGGAAATTGTAAGTGTGTATAATTAATATTCGCTGTCGCAGACAAGGTGTGGTGCGCACGGACAAGAAGCACTGCAAGACCACGAGGCACTGCAAGGAGGCCTGTTGGCGCGTGTCCAAGCCCGTGTGCGGCTCCGACGGCGTCATCTACCCCAACTCGTGCAAGATGCGCTCCAAGAACTGCGGGTCAGTATCAATTTTTCGATCGCGATTAAAACTGGTTTTATTTCGAACATAATTCAATTTATTTATTGCCCCCTTCAGAAAGCACATTTTCGAGATCCCAATGAGGTACTGCAAGAGTCTGACGCAGGAAAGGAACGCACTGGCCGCGGTGGTCGACTGCCCCAACAACTGTGATGGAGAGGCTGTTGAGAGGGTCTGCGGCTCCGACGGCAATGTTTATGATAACGAGTGCGAGATGAAATTCCTCACTTGCGGGTTAGTAAATTTTTTAATTTAATTAAAACCAATAAAAATAAAGATTTGTGGTCAAATTTTTATTTAAAATTTATGATTGGAAAAGAAATGAAAATTAAGCATAATAAATAATATCATTTTGATTTGTTTCCCCAAAGCATTTTAAGAAAATTTATTGAAATATCTTTTAAAATTTTAAGTAGTTTTTTATATATAATTATGATAGGCAAAGAATACCTTGTGGAAAACTAATTATAGCAATTTAATAAACGATATTAGTTATTAATTTAATTAAAGCTTAAATTTGACAAGTTATTGTATACTATATATTATGTTAATACTTTCCAAGTAATTTAAATAAATTATTTAAGGAAAAATTATAATATTAATAATTTATTTTTATAAATTTTCAAATTTTAATTTATAATTTTCATATTTTAATCTATTAGGGAAAAGAGTTTTTCAGCAATTAAGCACTTAACTATTTATCAACAAATAAAGTATTTATACATTGAACTAAACTAAAATCAATGAGAAATGTAAGTAAATTATAATGCTAATTTACTCACTTGACTGTAAATCTACTTCCATTCAATTCACTCTTCTTAATACTATTTGGAATCAGAAAAAATATGATACTATCATCTTTTCCAGTTTGCAGTCAAAGAGGAAAGTTACCAAGGTCGATTTTGAAAAGTGCCGAAAGAAGTTCACCAATTGCAACCTGCTGCAGTGCAACAATGAGGAAGATTTTGTTTGCGGCAGTGATGCCAAAAACTACCGCAACCCTTGCCACCTCCAGATTGCTACCTGCCTGTAGGTGTTTGATTGCTTTTAAATCCGTAAAATTGATGAAAACTGTATTCTCAGGAAGGGAATCCAGATGGCCCACTTGGGCAATTGCACGTCTCTAACACAAGAGGATGACTGCCCTGTCTCCTGTGACCACGAAGACTCAAAAATGGCCTGCGGATCGGATGGAAATGTCTATAGGTAATTTTTAAATCAAAGAGTTCATTTAAATTATTATTAAATTCAATATAATATTTGCAATTAATAATTGCTTCTTATGCAAATTATTTTCATAAAAAATTCTTGCAAGGTCGCGCTGTGAGATGAAGCTGCACACGTGCGGCCAGCGAGTTGTGGCCGTCCCTGAGCACCACTGCAAGACCACCAGTCACTGCAACCAGGACTGCGGGGACCAGAGAGAGTTTGTTTGCGGATCAGACAACAAGTTCTATAGAAGCGAGTGCGAAATGCGCAAGAAAAACTGCGGGTTGGTGGAAAATTTTAAAAATCATAATTGTAATTTTAAATTTATTATGGTTGAAATTGAATTTTGAAGTTAGCTTTTTTCTGTTGAGATTTATTTCACTTTCTGCTGGTGTTTAAAAAAAAAAAAACAATATCCTGAGCTGCTTTTGTGAAAACAAAAAAAAGTGTAAAAATGCTTCTCATTCTACTCACCAAGAGAAAGTTAGAATTAAATTTAACATTTAACCTTCATGAATTCCACCTTGATTATATATATTCTTTAATAAAAATAATAGATAGAAATAAGAAAGGGTATAACAAGTAAATGAAAAATGAATATTAATTTGTAATTATTAATTATTGATTTTCTTCTTTTTGCAGAAAACACGTTTATGTTGTGCCAATCAAGAGGTGCTTGGCCGGTTTCCAGTTCATGGGCTGTCAGAAGATTTGCCCCACGCTTTATGACCCTGTGTGCGGCACAGACAACAAGACTTACTCCAACGAGTGCTTCCTGGATATTGAAAACTGCCGCTCGAGATCGCTCGTGTCCAAGCAGCACGTTGGAAAGTGTGGACAGCCTGAAAAGAGCGCGGTCAAAAACTTCTACAGACCATGAGCGAGATGAAAATATTATTTATTTGACTCGGACGACAGCATTTTAAACAATGTTATTTAGTAGAATTTCTGACATTAAACTCGAGACAAAAACATGACGCGGTCGATCATTGCCATGCGAGATGAACACGAAACAGAAGTAATTTATTTTTAACAATGTGTATTTATATAAAATGTATGATTTAGTTGATAAGAAACACAAACTGTGACAGAAGAGAGAAATTTATTAGTATTTCTTAAAAGTTTCAATAAACAAATTTTTAAAAATCAGCATTTTTTTCTTTTAACTTCCTCTTCATTAAACTTGAAACAAGGCTACGAAGCCTACGAATATATCTTAATTAATTATTTTACTAATTATTTTTCTAAAAAAGCAATAAAGGAACAAAATATGTGAAACATACATCGAAAGTGGTTCATGTGGCTGATGTTATTGATTTATTCTCTAATAATTTGCAGTGAAAAGCAAACAAGCTGAAAATTTTCCTTTTATTCCTGCAAACGTAAAAAAATCTTGTAATTTACCGACATTTTAAAAGACCAATTATAGATACACAATAGATCGCGCCAGATGAATTACAAGTTTGACTTTTTGATGCAGCCGTTCTCCGCTGGGTCGTTTTTGGTGTGCTTGCTGGTGCTCAGTGTCTGTTCTGAAGCTCCTCCCTTGGCGAACGGTGGAACCCGCAGCAATGGAGCTGGTTGAGCGCGAAGAGCAAAATAAAACATTTGATTTGAGTTAAATTTATTCAAATCATAGAAGCCGTTTTCAACAGGGTTTCTGCTTTCAAAATATATGAAAAGGAATGCCAATATTAGCGCAATCCAACATTTAATTCGACAACTTGAACAAATTTATTTGAAAATCACAGTTTTATTTTAGTCAGAACATGAACTTTATATTTTTTATAATGTCAAAATGATATATGTATTTTGCCCCGATAATGCCTGGAGATTAATGGAAACCAAAAATATGATTATTCTAATTAATTTATATTAAAATTAATTTTATAATTTATTATTTGTATTAATATTATTATGATATTTAAATGATTCATTAGGAATAGTGATACCATCTTTAAAATTTCCGCAAGTAGGGTTGCTTAATTGCTTAACAAGCTGATTTTTAGTATGAATGGAGTTAATTTATTTAATTAATAATTATGTCGTCAGCCAGCTATTATTATTATTATTATTATTATTATTAATATTATTATTATTATTATTGATCTTTTTGACTTTATGAAGCGTCGTCACGATGTAGTGACTCATTGCAACGCGCCCCATTTGCAACATTGTACAAAACAAATAGAAATTAAGATTAAAAAACAACAAAAATATTACAATTAGTTTACGAATTAGGTAAATATTTTGATTTGGCGCCCTCGACTGCCTTTGTGTGCGTAAAAAGCAGCCAGTCGAACGCTTCATCGAATTAAACACACGCACAGCTCCCACGCCCGCCACGTCTGACCGCAAAAACAAACCTACAATCGCTTTACCACTAGTACTCGATCGATTCGTAAAATCGATGCTAGGACGCTAAACATTTTTTATTGTTTTTTTTTTCACTTAAATTCGGCGGTTATTTCAGCACTTTCAATACAAAGCTACTTTATTATTAGCTCTTACAATTATTATATTTAAAAACTTATTACATTTTAAAATTAAAGTGACAGCTCTGTTGTAACGTTATGGGAAATTTATTAGAGCTGTGGCTGCTCTATTATTTGTTGGAAGCATGTAAATTTGTGAAAAAGTTCCCACGCTATTTTGTGCGCACGGAGCAGCTGCACGGCAATGCGACGCTTGACGGAGAGATATTTTTGTCCAAAATCAAGGTTTTATTTATCTCTTTGAAAAACTTTGAATTTATGATCGATGTATCTCGATATGGGCAGCAAATGCCTCTGTGATATATCAATAAATATCATTTGCAACTAAACAAAAAATAAATAACTTTAAAAAATATATGTTGCAGTTAAAAAATAAAATAATTTTAAAATATTATTTTATACGTATAATAACAGAGTTGGTTAGCAGGATGCTGTTGTGCGCGCTGGAAAAATTATTATCGCAGGTTGCCATCGCAGATTGCCAGCGTCGATTTGATTTTCCGCTCAGTGCTTGAGCAATCGGAACTCGCGGAAAACACTCCACCGTGGTGGGCTATAACCCGGCGTCTGGTCGAGGATGGCTCAGTGCCTTTCAGTGCCGCGACTGAGACGAACCTTCTCCTCTCTTTCGTCCTCCAGCAGCACCCGACCGACGACCCGACGCTGAATCAGTTGCGAAAAACCCAAAAGGGACTTCTTACGCAAACATGCACCGTCTGGTGGTCGCGTTTTCGGCGGCGACCCTGCTCGTCCTCATCATTTCTCGTGCGTACAACATAATTTCCATTTTTCCTCCTTCATTTTTATCATCATGTAACTAGTCTTCTATATGCAACGAGATTCGCCTGCTTTAAATTTTTGATACTAAATTTAACTCAAATATATCAATAATTGTCAATTACGTAAAAAAAAAATTAAATTTATTATAAAACAAAACTCAATCAATAATTCTAAAAAAAAAAAAAAAAATACAAATATTTAAAAAAAATATATTGTTTTTATAAAACAATTAAATTTTTTTTAAAAAAAATTTAAATTAATTATATTTTAATGATTAAAGTGCTTATAAAATAATAAATTTAAAAATATAATAAATTTAATTCCAAGCTGTTAAACACCAAAAATTAGTAACGTTTCAAACATTCAAATTTGAAATTGGAACATAAATAATTAAAGAATATTAATTGTTTTTTCTCTTCTCAATTTTAAAAATAAGAATTTTTAATGTAAAATAATTCAAAAATTACATAAAAGAGAAATGGACAATGTTTGTACATAGTCGATAGACAAAGTCATTCTCAAATATTAGAAATATTGAAAAATTTTGTTTGTGTTCGCAGCTTCGCTGGTTGCCGGCGTGAATGAAGACTCAAACTGTCCACAGATATGTCCACCCGGCGGCGACCCGGTGTGTGGCTCGGACGACATCATCTACCCGAGCGACTGCGAGATGAGAAAGAAGACCTGCAATAAAGGTTGGTACAGTGAGAGCTGCAAATGCTGCAATGATGTGCTTCATAACTCAATCGCCAAAGCTGCGTCCAGAAAAATTACCATTCACATCCAATGCAATAAAATCACTATATCATTTATTTATTGCATTATTTGCATTAGTCTTGATATTATTTAATGTTATCAAAACATGCACGTGCTTGATTTTAGGAGTGCGTGTTTCTCAGCTGTCAGAGTATTTGTGCCAAAGATCGCAGGGCTCCAACTGCACGCACCAGTGCAACGAAGATTCTGACCCTGTTTGCGGCACGGACGGAAAAACCTATCTGAACAAGTGCTTCATGAAGATGGAAACTTGCAAGTAAGTCTGTTGCTTAATTATTTATTTGCGAGTCCTGTAATTTTTTACTTTTATTTCCAATAATAAAAAAAAAATTGAATTATTGAACATAAACTTTCGGAAGTTGGAGAATTGGTTATGATATAGTAAAAATTGGGTGACTTCTTCATTTATTTTTTACTAGAAATTTAATTTTTATTTTCAACGCATGAATGATCAAAAATTCATTTCATCAAGTTCGCACAAGAAAAAATGATCGTTCTAGAAAGCCACAAAGTGTTTAAAGTTTGGTTTCCTGACAGAATCTCAGTGTTCTTAAACCCTTTTCAAATGTAAATATCAGCAAGATATTATTTGCTCGACAATTCTGTCACTTATGCATTTTTTTTTCTTCACTGTCAACGGTTGCAAGTCTCATATTGCCATAGTTGGGCAGAGCGCGCTCTCCGCTCTATCGCACTATTTTCACAATCGTGAGCGAGAGCGCAGAGCGCGAGCGCATTGATTGCTGAGCGCAGCGCTCATTTGCGCTCAAAACAATATTAAAAATTCCCACATTTGATCAAAAATCCTAGCCAAAAACAGTGTTTTTATATCAAACTCTTTGAAATTTGGGAAATTTCAATTCAACTTAATCATTTCTGATGGGTTTTTCATGAAAAAATTTGTTTAATATGTCGGAATTTTTTTAAAGGAAAAATACTTTTGAGCGCAAATCGTGAGCGCTAGACTTTTTAAAAATTTGAGCGCAAATTTGTTGAGATTGCCTAGCCTGGTGCAATTTGTCATTGCCATGTCGGAGAAGCGTCGAAAATCAGACTTTGAATAATTTACGTGCATCTTTTTAGTGTGTTTTATGTAACATGTATGTATATGTACGCCGTTGGTGCTCAATAAATATTTCATTCAAAGTGACCATATAATAATAGAAACACTTACTAAGGTCAAGTTAAGCAAATAATTAAATAACAAAATTTTTTCCCAACGCTATTACGTTCTCATAGCAATTTAAAGAAATTTTTGCACGTTTTTAGAACTGGTGCTATATTGTCGCACTTGGGTCCGTGCAGCAACATCACAGCCCACAGTGAAAACTGTCCGGCGAGCTGCAGCGTGGCGCCTAACGACGGCCCCATCTGCGGCTCAGACGGCAACGTGTACCCGAACACCTGCATCATGAAGATGCGGACCTGCAGGCAAGAGTTGAATTTTTTTTCTATTCTCAGTCGAGAATGAAACAAGAGAGGAAATTTTAAGTGTGTATAATTAATAATTAATATTCGCTGTCGCAGACAAGGTGTGGTGAGCATGGAAAAGTCGAACTGCAAGACCTGCAAGGAGGCCTGTTGGCGCGTGACCAAGCCCGTGTGCGGCTCCGACGGCGTCATCTACCCCAACTCGTGCAAGATGCGCTCCCAAAACTGCGGGTCAGTATCAATTTTTCGATTGCGATTAAAACTTGTTTTATTTCGAACATAATTCAATTTATTCATTGCCCCCTTCAGAAAGAACATTATCGAGATCCCGATGAGGTACTGCATGAGTGTGACACAGAACTTCTCGCAAATTATTCCATCTCTCTAAGATAATCATTTTTTATGTTTATTATTATTCATAATTATTTGTGATCCAAAAAGGAAAATTTACAGTGCAAATATCAAATAAAATTATAATTCATTATCGTGCAATAATTTTATTGAATTTTATAAAGAAATCTACGTCAGAAATATCATTTGCTGTCACTTTAATTAAATGTTAAAAGCATTATATTTATTGGCATCAAACTTTTGCAATCATTAGAATTAAAACCATCTAATGTCACTGCAGAATAAGAATAAGCCAATTTAAATTGACAAACAAAACCTTAAAATATGAAGAAATTGAAATAAAACAATATGGAAGTAAAAAAAAACGCAATAACAAATGTGTATTATTTATATAATGTATACTTGTTTTGTACTATGTTGCAAATGGGACGCGTCGCAATGAGTAATTACATCGTGGTGACGCCTCATACGTCAATAAAGATCAATAATAATAATTATATAATAATATGATTTAATTGATAAGAGCAACTTTGAAAGGATAGAGAACTTTATTAGGATTTCTTAGAAGTTTCAATAAAAATTTTTTTAATAATCGGCATTTCTCTTTTAACCATTTGATCAATTAACTCTAAATAGGGTTTATTATATTTCTTCATTTGAAAGACGAAAGACCGCAATTCTACATACAAAATAGATCGCGCCAGATGAATTACAAGTTTTTTTTGGTGCAGCCGTACTCCGCTGGATCGTTTTTGGTGTGCTTGCAGGTGCTCAGTGTCTGTGCTGAAGCTCCTCCCTTGGCGAACGGTGGAACCAGCAGCAATCGAAATCGAGCAGGTTGAGCGCGAAGCAGAGCAAAATAAAACATTTGATTTGAGTTAAATTTATTCAAATCATAGAAGCCGTTTTCAGCAAGGTTTCTGATTTCAAAATATATGAAAAGGAATGCCAATATTAGCGCAAACCAACATTTAATTCCCCAACTTGAGCAAATTTATTTAAAAATCGCAGTATAAGTTTTATTTTAGTCAGAACATGAACTTAATATTTTTTATTAGTTCAAATGATATATTTTGCCCCGATAATGCCTGGAGATTAATGGAAACCAAAAATATGATTATTCTAATTAATTCATATTAAAATTAATATTTATAATTTATTATTTGTATTAATATTATTATGATATTTAAATGATTCATTAGGAATAGTGATAACATCTTTAAAATTTCCACAAGTAGGGTTGCTTAATTGCTTAACAAGCTGATTTTTAGTATGAATGGAGTTAATTTATTTAATTAATAATTATGTCGTCAGCCAGCTATTATTATTATTATTATTATTATTATTATTAATATTATTATTATTATTATTGATCTTTTTGACTTTATGAAGCGTCGTCACGATGTAGTGACTCATTGCAACGCGCCCCATTTGCAACATTGTACAAAACAAATAGAAATTAAGATTAAAAAACAACAAAAATATTACAATTAGTTTACGAATTAGGTAAATATTTTGATTTGGCGCCCTCGACTGCCTTTGTGTGCGTAAAAAGCAGCCAGTCGAACGCTTCATCGAATTAAACACACGCACAGCTCCCACGCCCGCCACGTCTGACCGCAAAAACAAACCTACAATCGCTTTACCACTAGTACTCGATCGATTCGTAAAATCGATGCTAGGACGCTAAACATTTTTTATTGTTTTTTTTTTCACTTAAATTCGGCGGTTATTTCAGCACTTTCAATACAAAGCTACTTTATTATTAGCTCTTACAATTATTATATTTAAAAACTTATTACATTTTAAAATTAAAGTGACAGCTCTGTTGTAACGTTAAGGGAAATTTATTAGAGCTGTGGCTGCTCCATTATTTGTTGGAAGCATGTAAATTTGTGAAAAAGTTCCTACGCTATTTTGTGCGCACGGATCAGCTGCACGGCAATGCGACGCTTGACGGAAAGATATTTTTGTCCAAAATCAAGGTTTTGTTTTATCTGTCTCTAACTTAGAATTTATGATCGATGTATCTCGATATGGGCAGCAAATGCCTCTGTGATATATCAATAAATATCATTTGCAAGTAAACAAAAAATAAATCACTTTAAAAAATATATGTTGCAGTTAAAAAATAAAATAATTTTAATATATTATTTTATACGTATAATAACAAAGTTGGTTAGCAGGATGCTGCTGTGCGTGCTGGAAAAATTATTATCGCAGGTTGCCATCGCAGATTGCCAGCGTCGATTTGATTTTTCCGCTCAGTGCTTGAGCAATCGGAGCTCGCGGAAAACACTCCACCGCGTACTATGATGCAAATGGGACGCATCGCAATGAGTATACATCGTGGTGACGCATATCATACGTCAATAAAGATCAATAATAATAATAATAATAATATGATTTAATTGATAAGAGACACAAACTTTGAAAGGAGAGAGAACTTTATTAGGATTTCTTAGAAGTTTCAATAAACAATTTTTTAACAATCGGCATTTTTCTTTTAACCATTTGATCAATTAACTCTAAAAAGAGGGTGACGAATATTTCTTCATTTGAAAGACGAAAGACCAACTCACATTCAAAATAGATCGCGCCAGATGAATTACAAGTTTGAATTTTTGGTGCAGCCGTTCTCCGCTGGATCGTTTTTGGTGTGCTTGCTGGTGCTCAGTGTCTGCGCTGAAGCTCCTCCCTTGGCGAACGGTGGAACCCACAGCATTCGAGCTGGTTGAGCGCGAAGAGCAAAATAAAACATTTAATTTGAGTTAAATTTATTCAAATCATAGAAGCCGTTTTCAGCAAGGTTTCTGATTTCAGAATATATGAAAAGGAATGCCAATATTAGCGCAATCCAACATTTAATTCCACAACTTGAACAAATTTATTTGAAAATCACAGTGTATAAATTTATTTTAGTCAGAACATGATGGTATAGTCAACTTTATATTTTTTCTAAGTTCAAATGACGTATTTTGCGCAAATAATGCTTGGAGACATAAAAAATTTGTCCAGAGGCAACAATTTGAATTTTTTTCAATTATAAAATAATGGTAATAATTATAAATAAATAAAAATATGCAATTTTTATGCAGCTGCATCACGGTCCACTTGCAATCGAAATCTCATTAAAAATGTTCATTAACTGAATTTCGGTAAATATTTTTATAAATCAAAAAATGGAAGAGACCAAATTATTTATATTTATTTCTTCGGTGAATTCAAGTTCATGAATGATGTCACGGATTTATTTTTGCCAAAACCTACGGACATCAGTTGTGGCGAACGTTAATCCTGCTTTGAGCATCATGAGGGGCGTCTCGGGCAGCATAATTTATGTAGCAGCCAAGTGGATCTAATTAACATCCTCTCAGAAAAGAAGCTGCTGCTCGGTGTGCGCGTCGAGTAAAGAAGCAGAAGAAGGTTTTTTTTTTTGCTTTAGTTTTTTTCCATTCCCTCATCCAAATACAAAATAATGTAGATGGTGGGGGAGGGAGGGAGCCGCGGCAACGCACACATTAAAATGTGTATCAGCCAGAATTCTACTATATTATTCTCCTTCTCCTCCTCTCAGTTGTATTTTTAATAGGCACACCACAACAAGCCGACGAGTCCCTGTGCACCACACCTCGGCCGGCAGTTGAGGCAGTTCTGTCCCTGACACCCACCAGCACCAGCCAACCGACCGAACCGACCGACCGCTCGTTTGACCAGCACTCCTTGCACCATGGCCCACCGCGTCCTGCTCGCGGCTACCTTGCTTCTCTGCATTAATTTCGCTTGGTGAGTACAAAATTTTATCCCGGATTTTTTTTTTAAATTTCTTTTGGCAAAGTCACAGTATGAAGCTACTGACTGACTCCTTTGCTTCATTAATTTCTGCAATTTCTATATTCTCCCCTTTTTATTATTAATTTTTTATGAATTCCTCCCACTTAATTTTAGTTAGGACACGACAAAACCCTTGGTTTTTAAAGTAAAGTAAGATTTTTTTTTAATTTTTTTTTTTAACTTTACATTGCACAAAAAAATGATAATCAAAAATTTGTTAACAATGGAAAAATCTCAGTTGAAATCGAATTTACAATTAAAATATGGAGAATTTTTTTTTATTATTTCGCAGTAACTTCCTCCATTCTACTTCACATAAACATGCTTTCCTGCATAAATAATGGGATTCATGAAGTGTTATTCCGGTTGAACCCGTACCTACGGTTTCTTCGTGCGGAAAAAAAACAAGTAAAAACTCTTCTATTATTTTCTGTAACGAATTAAGTTCTAATGATTTTTCTTTAGTAAATCTCTATTCACCTTAAAAAAAAAACAAAACATAATTATTAAAAATCAATAATTAACGAATAGGAAATTTAAAAATTCAACTTTCTCTTTTTGCGTCATTTAGTGTGGAAATCTTTAAAAATTTGCAAGAATTTTCAGCAAAACAGAAAAAAAACTAGTCTAATTGTAGAGATTAAAGGACACTCCTGTGCTTGGCACAAAACTCGACGCTATTTCTGTGACTCGGTCAGAAAGCAAACATTTCACTAAAAAATAAAAATTCAACTGCTACCACTGACCGAAAATTCTCTCTATTCAAAACATTCCTTATTGTTTTTAAGTATTTACAATGAAAAATTGAGAAGCACTTCTTGAAGTGGCGTGGGAACGAACCGATAGTGATCTGGAATAATGGGCTTTCAAGTGCACAGAGAGATGGCAGCGAAGGAGGATTTAACTAAGTGCTGTCCGTCTTGTTCAGAGGACCCTTAATGAGAGAGAAACACTGCAGGGAGATAAATCGAATAAATGCAGTGCAGCGAGTGCCAACTGCACTTGTCCGGCCGGTTAACTCCTCACCCGCCACGCTAGACAAGTAAAAATAAAATGCAATCACGTCATTAGCATTACAATGCAACGCGCGCCACGAGTCGTAAAAACACTTGACCGTTGCTGGTAGAGAGTGTCCGATGATGACCATTTCGTCCCTCAATTCTGCTCTCTTTTTCTTCTGTCCTTTAATTTTTAATATATTATAGATTCAACAATAAATTATTTCTTATTAAAAGTTCTTTAATTTTTTTATTATATTATTAGGTTTTTTGTATAATTTTTTATTTAATAAAATAATTTGTATCAATAAATTCCATTTTCATTTTACATATTAAAAAAGGATATTAAAAAAGGATTTGTTTCAAGATTTTCATGACATAATATGTTATACATAAATAAATTTTAAATACATTATTCTGACTAAATGAATAATTCAAGGTCAGTGGTTCAAGAAAAACAATCTCATGACGAAAAATGGACTATTTTTTAATAAAGATGTATTGCGATCACTTTTGATTTATAAGTATTTTAACTAGTGGTAATTGGTGTATTAAATTCAATTTTGAATTAACACTTTATGCTGACTTTACAAACATCTGATAGTCAAATTATAAGTGGAATCATATGCAATATAGGTGGCCTAAAATTTCAAAGCAGGACAATTCACTAAATTTATAACTATACCGATAAGGAAAAATTATTATTTTCTGAAATTATCTTAAAATATCCTAATTACATTGCATAATGTTAAAAGTTAATATGCAAAAATCGTTTCAATCCAATAAATTTTCATTTTTTGTGTAGAAAAATTATTCATACAAACATGCCAATGCAAATAAAATCATGAATTAAAAAGTTAAAAATGGAAAAATTTAAACTTTTTGAAAATTAAATTATCTTTGTTGTGATACCTTTTTTGCTCATTTTTTCCAATTAAATTTATTTGGTGTACGACTTGAGTATAATTTTAGAAAACAAGACATTTGAGTTGTACAAATGCGTCCATTCATCTCTGGTGAGAACGCAGTCCGCTCTTAGTAATCGAGCAAAAACGCAATCATTCCCAATTATCCTATCCACCCGACCCGCATCGCCGCTCGCAGATGCGCGAGAGCGAGAAAAAATTCACTCTCTCTCTAGCAAAATGACATCACTTGAAGACCCTATCTCTCATTCAAAGTGTGCAAAACGGAATGAGAATGAGAGGAACGAGAATCCTTTTGAAGACACGGCCGCAAAATTGAAATGAAAAGACGCGCGGCCAGCAACGGCTTATTTACGAGCTTATTTACGGCCGGAATAAATTTAAAAGTTTATCCGCATCTTCCTCTCCACTCGCACCCACCCCAACACCTCTTCGACACAAGTAACTTTTGAGAGATATTTACATTGGGACGTGCCTTTAAGAAAGGAGCGGAGCCAGCGTTTAAAATAAGTGCTTTGAAAAGTTTTGATTTAAACTATTTCTAAAATTGCAAAAGCTGTTTAATGTTTTAATGTTTTTGAAATTTTAATTACATGATATTACTATTATTTTTGTTGACTCTATTACTGTTGTTTATTGGTCCAATTTTTACATCAACATCATAATAATTGTTTACATTCAATTTTATTGTTGTGAAGTTTGATAATGTTGATTTAAAATTATCTTATATTATAATATAAATATTATATAAAAGGGGTTAAAATAAAATTTAATAATTGATTTGAAATATTTTTAATTTAATTATTGTTATTATGGAATTTAACGTATTTATTATACCTGATATTCTATTTAAATTATTATTTTAATATTATCATATGTTATTAATATTATATAAATATTAAAATAATTATTATTAATATTACCATTTAATATATTTATTATAATAAAATAATTTATATGATTTATATAAACCAGTGATGCTATTGTAGCCATAATTAAAATTTCTATTAGTAGGGTTTTTAGCTTGCTTACCGTGAATGGAGTTAATTTACTTAATTAATAACTACGTCGTCAGCCAGCGATTTATTTTGATTATGAATTTGGTTAAAATTGTGATTTGGCGCTTTCGACTGTCTTTGTGTGCGTAAAAAGCAGCCAGCCGGACACTTCATCTAATTAAACACACGCACAGCTCCCACGCCCGCCACGCCTGACCGCAAAAACAAACCTACAAACATGTCGCTTTTTTTCCACTAGCACTCCATCGATTCGGAAAATCGATGCCCACCCTATATGCCACGGCATTAAACATTTTTATTGTTTTTTTCACTTAAACTCAGCGGTTATTTCACAAATGTACGTAGAACAGCCCAGCATAATCTGATAAAATGGCTTGAATTTTTCAACCGTGTTCATTCTCTGTTGCATGACCAGCATGGATACTGATCTGAAATCTGAAGGGAGGAGAAATTGCGTTTTTATCGTTATTTTATTAATGCATCTTTCACTGACAAGACAGTTGAAATCACATCCAACCCTGTCATATTAATAAAACATTTGGAGAAATTCAGAGGGAAACCAAAGTTGAAATTTTTGTGAGTAGCGTGGCGGCGCGATGTGCATAACAAGTCGACTTCCGCTTTTTTATGGCCGTTTCATTAATATGGATTAAATGCGTAGCCAGCACAAAGTTTTAAGCTTTATATACCAATATATATTTAGTGCTCCTCTGGCTGGTGCGTGGAATGGTATGAAATCGAGGAAAAATGGAATGAATGAAAACGAGAGACCAGGATCGAGCGCTGTGACTCGCATACGGCGCGCGACTATGACGAGTTTAATTTGTGCTCGGGGGTACGTGACAGAATTTTTAAAAGCACGTACCATCAAACAGGGGATTTAACAAAAATTTAGCAAAACGTTTGATTACAATTTTTTTTTGTCTGAATTGTTTATGTACTATATTTTGATAAAAATATTTTAAATTTTATTCAGGATATTCACAAGCGAAGATAGATTATTGGAGTTGCTCATACATATTAGTTTAGCATATAAAAATTTTAGTCTATTTTCTTTTTACTTATATTTTATTTTATATGATTTTACTTTTTTATTTGAACCTATTTTTAATAATATTTTTAAATTACCCATTTAATGTAATTACCTATTTAACATTTTTGTGGTGTTGCAGAAAATTAAAATTTTTATCAGGAATACATAATATTTAAAATTACGTTTAAATTTATTTATTTAAATTATTTTTATATTAAGTTGTAGTAAATCTTAAAATAAATAATCCTAAAATCAAAATGAAATTATTTTTACTGTTGAATTTGAGCACTAGCACCATTTATTTTTTATTTAATATACTTATTTATTTATTCTCCATTCACAGTAACATTATTATTTCAAATATATTATGTATAAAAATAATACAAAAAAGAATAAAACATTATTTAGTGTTCAGATATTAATGTTGGAGAATTTTCAATATGCACACAAAAGAGAATTCATCGTCTTAACATATATGAAATCCATATAATGAACTAATGAAGAAATGTTGGTATCCACGGAAAGAATTCAATATTTTTAACATTTTGCTGTTATTCACCTCTTTTTTGTACAAAAGCAATATTGCGAGCCAATATTCCGAAACTGAAAAATTTCCAATAACGAGAGATGCAATGGAGCGCGACGTCATTTTATTCAATGCCTAGACATATTTTTTCATTTTTTGTAAACTATTTTTTTTTTTTTTTTGTAGCAAGTGGAGCAAATCAGAAGTCAATCTTGCTTCTATTTTGGTAGGTGATTGTCAGTTCAAGTTGGATGAAAACCGTCACAGTTAAATCGTCCTTTGCTTTTTAGAATATTCTTGGATCATTTTCCTTTAGTCGATGCGCGTTTTTGTATTTTTTGCCGCCTCATCTGCCGCGCTCGGAACGTATTTTATATATAAATGCTGCCGCGGTCGATACATCAGAAAGATTTTACTCTCTTTCGACTCAGCAGGTGGATCAGCCTTGAAACTTTTGGTACGCACTTATCTCACCAGCCGCCTTGACATTGACTTTTAGATGAACGAACCCATATGGCGGTTGCCCTTGCGGAATAAAAGTTGTCGGCCGCGCCACCAGAAAGAAAACGGTTTTACATAACCCGCCATATGTTTTTGGTAATGATGCTGACTGTGTGGGAAAAACGAGAAAGAACTTTTTCCCCTAATATTCCAAAGCAGGAAATGAGTCTACTTAGAGAGAAGAAAAATTAATAGAAATAATAATAAAAAAAAAAATGAGTGAGCTTAAATGATGATTAGTTCAATTTGGCAATGGTCCATATTATGTATTTAGCCTAAATTTGACACGATTAATTATGAATCGGACTCTTTTATTCAGAGAAGGTAAATTTTTTTCTATTTTTATGTTATTTGTTAAGTCGTTTAAAATATGTTTAGTTTAAAAATGCTTGAAATTTTACTAATTTTTTTTATATTCCATTTTTTTTTATTTTAAATTAAATTTATTTGTTTATTATTTAAAATACAATTATTATTTTTTTTATTCATATTTTATATAACTCAATTCTATATTATTTTGTGTAATTTAATTTTATTTCATTTTTAAAATTTGATTAAATTTGATTTTTTTAAATTTATTTTATTTAAATAATTTTGTGTATTTATCAGGACAATACATGTTATTGTGTTTAGCAACTTCTTTTTTGATTTTTCTTTACTTGCAAACATTTTCACCATGAATCATGAAATTAATTAAAATCCTTCATGTATCCCTGATTTTTCACTGGGCCGGCGTAGTGACCAAGTGACATTTTTTCTTCTTCATGATGAAATGTAATCAGCAGACCGTAAACCAAAACTCGGCCGAAATAAATACATATCTCTGATGGTCATTTTTTTTTACATAATCCAACCGCCACCCTCTCGACGTGGTGACACGGAAAGTTAGAATGTATAAATAAAATATTGAACACAGGGCCCGCTGAAAACTAAAAGCCAGCGAGTGAGATTTACAAAATGCATCACGTGAGCCAAGCCTCGTCGGCACAAAACCACAAAACATATTCAAATGAGCGACGGCTGCGGTTTCGAACTGAAAACAGGCGGCACCTGATGCACCGCGTCTTGTTTTTTCGCCTTGCTTTACATAATCCAAGCCGTCGATGTGTCTCTTTCTTAACAAGCCGGCGAAACATTATGAGAAGCGACACCTGAAAAATTACTCAGGCATTTAAGACGTGCATACTCTGACAGCCTGTTTGAAAAAAAAGAGCCAGACTGTCAGTCGCCGTAAAAGAAGCAACACCGTCCGCAGATCAGATGCGATCCCAGAATGAGAGAGTGAAAAACAAACACGCCTGAAACTTGGCACCGGAGCTATTTTTTAGGCGCAACTGTCGACAGATTTTTATGGCCCGTCTTTCTCACAAAATTAAGACGTTTCGTCTCTGCCACCCGTTGTATTTTTGTTGACACAGCAATTAAACGAATCGTTAATTTTCTTTACAGGGGTTCCCATGCGAATGAGGAAGAGCTGATCAAGTACTTGTACAAAGATGATTACACCAAGTTTCTCAGCCCCGCGGGCACCAAAAATCCAAGTAAGTGGATTAGAAGTGAATCTAAAAAAAAAATCAAATTGTTACATAAATTTATAAAATTTAGAGGTCTAATTAAATAAAAATAATAGTTGCGATTTTGGTATCGCATGTAAATCTTCGCTAATATATAATTATATACAGAAGTGAGAAACATGTTACATTTTTTTTTTATATTATTAGTTATAATACGATCAAAAATAAAATTAAAATATTCCATAATTTAATTAGTATATATATTTAAATTTATAAATTGTTAAGAATAATAATTAAAAAATAATTTTAACTTTTAAAATAATTAAAATTTTATTTGTTATCAAATTTTGCTTGTATTCATTTAAATATTGAAGAATTGTACTCTAATGAGGTATTTTCAATAAACTATATGTATATAATTTAATTAGTTTGAAGGAATTGACACTTGAGGTGATGATTATGGAAATGAAGAAATCGGGCTTCTTCTCGTTGCAAAAAATTGCTTTTATTTAATAACAAAGACTTCATGAGCAAGAATAATACCAAAAAGAGGAAAATTGAAAAACACAATATTTTAACATAAAACTAAAAATCTTGAACTTAAAAAGCAAATTAACAAATCTTTTAGAAGAAACACAGATGTTGTTAATTTTAAGATTTTAATTTTTTTTTTTAAATGAGGTGTTTCTCAATTTTGCTGATTTTTTTTATTTTTCTTGCTCATTAAATACGGTCGCAGACTTGAATTGGTTTTTTAATAAAAACAATTGTTGCAACAAGGTACAGCCTGATCTCTTCATTTTCATAATTTAAATAAACCAATTTTTCGTTTAATAAGATATTAAATCATTTAAAAAGTACGAATCAAATAATTTAAATAACTTGAAAAATGAAAAATATTATAAGAAATTTAAATTTAAAAGTCACAATATATTTATTTGTAATTGACCAATAACTTAACAATTTTTTCTGTAGTTTGTAAATTTCTGTTCAGCTCAAAATCACATATTTTTAGTTTTCTACAAGTCCACATTCCTCTCTCGAGGGAAGGATAACAATATACCGGAATTTGCCTCTGAATACCAGCGCCTAACAAAAGGGGTTAAAGGCGATGCTAGAGGATCATCTCCATCTCCCCACTTCATGTTTAGGGTCCGCTGGGGATAAAATTTGATTCCTATAGAGGCTTTCTTTGTACACAAAACGGTCCAAAAACGTGTGTCGCCATCAATCTGCGTGCCATCTGCACCGGGGTCGTATTTTACGGCCGTCTCTGGAATTAAACGAATGTGGTGAATAAATTAAGGCGGGTGTTGATTTCAACGGCTGTGTGTGTTGTTTTCTAGCGCGGAGAGACCTTTATAAATAAGAGTGCTCGCAGATGCCAAGAAAGTTTCCGAGCAACACGAACATTGAATTAACCAATCAGCACCGACAAAAACAGAAAGAGTCAAGTTCAATGTCGAGTGTGAGAAAGAGAAGCGTTTTATTTTTAGCGCTCTAGACTTTCTCGACGTTTGCCAGCAAATGTGCCCGAAAATTTGCTTTATGCTCGCTTTAACCCTTTCTGAGAAACGCGAGAGATGAATCGAGTTGAGTTTTCTTTCGCAAAATGCGGCGAACACGCAGTTCTACAAACGTATATACATAGCTTTTAATTACAACTCGCTCTTTGCTGTTGCCTTTCCCATGGCAAATTGCTGCCCCGCGTAATGAGTTGTGCACCACCATTCTCAGACACACAGGGTTCATTACGAAGGAAAAACTAAAGAAAAATTAAAATGTAAGTGCTTTTTGAAAGCAGCTTGGTTATTTTGCACTGCGCTGCTTAATTACAGCGGGAATGTTTTGCTCTAAATTTTTATAATTTATGAAATGTTGTATTTTTTTGTAGATTATAAAATAACGGACGCCTATTTTGGTTTATATCGTCTGCTTGGAGTACAGAGAAGATAAAATGAGATTTTAAATCAAGCATATTGCATATGAAGAGTAAATTGAAATAAATTATTAACAAAACACACAACTTTGAAAATTCATTTGTACGTTTAGCTCAAATTGTATTTTTGTCATTTAAATTAAAACCACTTTGAATAATTCGGTTTGAACAAAATAAAATACAAAGTCAAATTTGTTTGTTTGAGGAAATAATTAAGACAATTGGCCGTAATGAATAAATTTGCTCTTAACCTTTTTTCACCGATTTTGTGACTCTCCATTCTCTACAAAGGCTATTTGTTTCATAAATTATTTAGAAGGAAATTGAAAACATGGTTGAGTGCCTATTCCGAGAATCGAATTCATTCGCTCAAGAGCCGAAAACCAATCAATCCTTGAGGCCATCAAATTATTTCCTATTGTTCTTCCCTGTCGCTCCGTGGAACTGGCAGTGTCAAGTATCTTTTTGTCACACCTTCCTTGTGCAATTCAACGCCCTAACAACCTCATTGAATACGCATGGAATTTTCGATTTGCATCCAAAATTAGCTTGTTTACCAGCCATTGGAAATTTCAAATGGAAAGAAAATACTCATTTTCAAGACCATTAAAGTCCATTCCTTTTCAAAGACAAATAAATATCCCTAATTTCTCCAGCGAGAAAAAGGACAATATTTTTCTTCAATTTCGCGACGTAAATAAGAGGCTAAATTGAGCCTCTTATTTTTTTTCCTCCTACAACGTGGGGTGGGAAACGAGAATTAGCTCAGCTCTCAACGGCCGCCATCATTCTCAATAAAAGCGAGACCGTTTCATTTTCGTACATAATTTTTTGTTTGCCGACAGAAGCGGCAGCAGGATCTGCATGCCTAACAAAAATAGGCGAGGGCTTTTTATATTTTTTTCGAGCATCCTCTCTTGCTGATGTCAGAGGTCGCTCTCCTTTTTTCAAATGGCTACCAGAATTATGTTATATAAACACATAGTGGAGGAGAAAGAAAACTAATTGACTGCCGAGACGACTTTTCAAAGTGGGGCCTATGCAAACGAACGCGCAAAAAAACCTGCGTAATTAAGCTGAGGTTGCAAAAGTCAAGCGGATGGAAAGGAGCTTTTTTATCTTTCTGCCGGAGGGTTGGTTTAAAAAATTTGAGTGCAAGTTGGGGAGCAATAAATCTGAATTTAATGCAGCTGTTCTGATTATTTTTTGCGAGCTTTTCATGAGAGAGTGCCCGTTTGCTGGCAGAAGCGCAAAGCAAACGTCGGCACTCTTTCTGCTTTTATGACGGCCAAATGAATCCAATAAGAAGCACATGCATGAGAGACATTAACTCTTATAATTCCAGTTTCACGACGGAGGTAATGGAATTAAAAAATACCTACACAGTATAAATTTTATGCGTCGGCGGACAAGAAGAAGTGCCACTAAAATTAGAATAGGCACTTCCGTCGGTTTTGCCCGGCGAAACATATAAATTACGAGCGGGCGCGTTTTAATTTTCGAAGCAATTTGCACTTCAACTTTTTACCCTCAGCGACGAGCGGGCAAGTGAAAATGGTTGTTGAATTTCAAGATGGAATGAAAGGTATTACTTTTGACATGGATCAAAATTGGCTTTTTTGCAGAGAAAAATGCAGACAAGAATCGAATTTGAATTGATCAAACGAGAAACAAATGCAGATTTTTTATACTTAAATTGCTCATAATGTGCTCATATTTTGAAATTTTTGACAAACTTGACCTTTTGAAGAAGTTGACATTCGAGGAGATGATCATGGTAATGAAGAGATCGGGCTTTTTCCATTTTTTTATGCTGATAAATAATTTCTGCTTTACTTTGTACAGTGTATTTTTTGCGAACTAATGTTACCATCAATGAAGAATAAATAAATTGATAAATGAAAATAAAAATTAAGTTATCAAATGAAACTATATAAAAGTAAAAATAGATCCCTGATTAAATTGATCAAGGATTCCTTATAAAATTTATTACAATATTTTTTAAACTTGTATCAATAGAGTTATTTGATAAACAGATTGTTGTTTGAAGAGAAAAATATTCTAGAACACGGATTTATTAAATCTCGTAAAAAAATCAAACCAACTTTTTCTTATTTCGTTTCAGGTACACAACAAGCCGCCGCGCATGATTTGCATAAATGTATTGATTGAACCATTGAACTAAAAGCACAGAGTCGAATCAAACCGACGTTTGCTGTAACGTGCATAACAATTCAAGGTGAAATACAAACTGAAAGTTGAAATTTTGATCCGTTTTTGATCAATTTTAAATTGTTTGATAATTAAATTTAAAGACAGGTCTAAAAAAATTCCCAACGGAAGCTATAAAAAGAAAATAAAGCCCTAAATAAAATGATGAAGGATTCTGTGAAAAAATTATCACAATATTCTTTTAATCCATATCAAAATAGTGTCTTTTAATGAACAAATTGTTGATTGAAGTGAATATTTTTTTAGAGTTTTCTATCAATTTATCGGCTCTCATCTAAAAAATTCAAACCTTTCGGCAGAGAGAAAAAGTCTGGTTCATTCATATCGCCCGACGTGCGTTGTTTTTTGCTTTTTTGCTGCGACTTTGCTCTTGCGAAAGCAAAGCAGATTTTTTAACAAAACAATCATGAAGTGGATGGAAGAAACGTGGCCCTGGGGGCGAATGAAGAATTTTTCCTCCACCCGAGAACAAATTCAATCTGCAGTCCGGCCAGATATGCTGAGCCGGCAAAAGCTCCAATTTGATATGTGTACGGTCGAGAGAGATTCGTTTCGGTTTTCGCACTTTTCTCTTTCTGATGCTGAAGGGGTGAAATGGTGCGTGAGAGGGCGGCCGACGAGAACTCGAGAGCTCCGTCAGCAGAATAGCCACTAAATTAGCTCCTATTGCGCGGAACAATGGCCAAATTACATAACACACACTCTTCGCACCCACCCGCAGTGCATTTGCATCGAGTGTGAAACAACAAATATTCATTATGGACCTCTTTTTACTCGGACGCACGCGGCCACTCTCCACTCACGCGTCCATGGTGCGGCGCTGAATAAAAATTAATGGTTCCACCACCCCCTTTATTACGACATATTGCCACAAAAAACGTCACGCATGTTTCATACAATTTATCTCGTTTTTTTTTTTTCACTTCTTGCCATGGTTATAATTGTTAAAATTAGGACATATTACAGTGCATAAAATTAATAAAAAGCTTTAAAATGACCATATTATTATTTATTCTCGATCATCAGGTTAGTTAAATCACCAACAATCAAAAACTCATACTCGAAAAAAATTTATTGGGGAAGAGTGTTTTTGGAAGAGAAATGGTACCTCTAGCACTAAGTTTGATATTGAAAGTTTAACGAAGTGCAAAATAATTTTAATCGATTTTAATTTAATGTAAAACATTTCAAGTACATTTATGTTCTAAAATGTTTTATAATTAAATAAATACATATAAAGATAATGATATTGATAATAATGACAATTGAATAAGTAACTATCAGCTATCAGATATTTCTTCTATTGACTTGGTAGTGGGTGAAGGGATGTTGAAAATTTAAACAGATGAGTAAAAATTTTAAAAACTTGACCAATTCTTGGATTTTCATTTTCTTAAAAGAGAAATGTTAAAAAATTAATATTTGTCTTATTTTAAAATATCAAATGAATCTTTTATTTAAAAAAATAACTAAAAACAATGTTTTAACATAAAAAAATATGTTTAAAAATTTTATTTAATTAATAAAATTAATTTTAAATTTTCTAGATGTTACTGTAAACGGCGTCCCTTACAACGGAACTGGCTCGCCCGTCGTGGTGAACGTGAACTTGTTCGTGCGCTACATCGGCGAAATAAACGACGAAAACAAGGTAGGCAACCGCACACGCAGTTCTCGCACATTTCACTTCGCAGCCCCTCCGGTGCGGTAATTCTGCTTTTTCACATACACGTATACGTCTCGCGTTGTTCACCCCTTTTGCTAGGCGCGCGGCTGCCAATTCTCGTAGGTTTTGGCTTTCACGAGATTAAACGCGAGTCGATTTATTTTATTTGCATTCGGGGAGGCGCGGCAAGTCGGATTGTGTAAACGTTGATATTGATAAATTCCAACCCAAGAGCGTTGCGGTGTGTGAATTTGTAACTTGGTGGTGTTTTAGCTTTTGCGCGAGGGAAATGGGAATTTGCACCGTTTTATCGCCGGTTAGTTGCTTGTTCGCGGTCAGATTGGTTGCTTTAATTAACGGAGAAACGTCACGTGAAATTTTCTTGTACTTTGATCATCACAAAAGCTTCTTTATTACAATTTTATTATTTCCAAACTTATAATATTTAAAATAAAATTCCCATGAAAATAAATTCAAAATTGAAAATTTAATAGAAAATTAGTTTAAATTTTCAAATCATTCAAAATAATTTGAGTCACTTTAATTTTGAAGCTGAAATAGATTATTTTATTTATTCATTTCCGACGTTTCGCGTTCGAATATCAATTCTTACAAGCCGTCTTTTTCGCACATATGACACACTCGATTGATGTCGAAAAGAGAGACGCGAAAACCAATTTAATCATGCAGGCCCGGAAGGAGGAAAACGCGCTGTGTTGTTATTTGGGGATTTGAATTTCTATTAGGCTCGTCGCTGGTGTACATTAGCACAAAGGCAGCCTGGAAGAAGCAGCATTCATTGTGTCGCTCGGCGCCGTCAGTTTATGATGCGAAATTTATATGCATATAAACGCGCTCTGTGTGTATCGGTCGAATTTAATACTCTTTTATTATGGCGAAAATAAACAGCGCCTGCGAGCCTTTGAGTTGAGAAAATTGAATTTATGTGTGTGAGCCCGTCAGTCGAACGAACACAAAACCGACGCCAAGCGAGAGAGGGAGGTTTTTTATTTTTATTTCGCCTCAGGTACAAAACGAGCCGCCGCGGATGATTTGCATAAATTTATTGTTGGACAAAATGCACAGAGTCGTTTCGAACCGACGTTCGCCGAAACATGCATAACAATGCACGGTGGAATACAAACGGAGAATTTAAATTTTGATCATGTTTTGTTTGCAAAGAAAACTAAAATGATGAAATTAAAAAAAATGAAAGTTTAAACAAATTTAGCCACCGCCTCTTTAAAATGATATCATTAGCTCGCAGTTGTTGCTCTCATAAATAATGTGCAAGTGAGCTCTTCGCATAATCGATTCGTCTGGTCGACTCTCTCGGTTACTCCATCGGATTTTATTGCAAATGCAAATTCCTGCGTGCAGCAGGCCTCGCTATATTTTATTGCCTCGCGCGCGCGAGAGTGCGACTGTTGGGAACAAACAAAAAGAGCAGCCAAGCCGCTCTCTCTGTACTTTATGGCTCGAATAATAATTTTGCTTTATTGTTTCCTTTGCTGCAGGACTACAAACTTCAACTGACTCTTCGCCAGTCGTGGACCGACGAACGTCTCAAATACACTAAACAAATCGGTGTGTATAATTGATTAAAAAATATACTTATTGATTTTGCAGATTTAACAATGTGAGTTGCTGCTGAATACACCAAAATTTAAAACATACTGAAATTTTATGGAACCATAAATCAATTTTAAGCAACGTTTACAACTTTATATGCTTGGCATATGCAACCTGCACGATTTTGGTGCAAAGCGGAGTGCCTAAAATATTATTAAAATTCCTTTTAGACTCGCAATTTTTTCATAATTCTTTTGCTCTTCTAAGTAAAACTACATTTTTAATTATCATTTTGACTTTTTATCAAACTTTTTAAATTTAAATTGTTTACTGGTCTCAAAGATTTATATAAATTATCAGACTCCTACCAGCAATATTAATCATAAAATTCAAAATATTCATACATTGGAGGGAAATATTACTAACAGTGAATTGTTATTATTATTATTAATTTTTTATTTTTACACACTTACTTATATAATAAATATCAAATGGACTTCGTATTTTGTGCAAAAATTAAAAACTAAAATTGATTTTTTTCTAACATGACAGAGACGATCGAGAAATAAAATAACATTATTTTAACTGTCAGATTGAGGTTTCAATTATAATATTGATGGGTGTATTACAGTCCAGTGACTCGCAGTGATCGCAACTTTAGTAACTGATATTTATGTGTACCTCTTGGTTGAATCGTCGGCCTCTCTTTGCAGACGGGCAGGATTACGTGCTGTTGACCGACCCGAGCAAAATATGGGTGCCCGATTTGTTCTTCTCGAACGAGAAGGAAGGCCACGACCACCAACTGATGACGGCCAACAATTTGATCCGTATCGGCCCCGACGGTAGCGTCATGTACAGCACACGGTACGTATATAAAATAACTTTGTTTCGCCTCATTGAACCACGTCGCCGGTAATTGCCATTATAAAAGTCGCCCCGTTTGGCTCGTAATTGATTTCGGCCAAAGTTTGGATTTCATCCGTTCATCCCAAAAGTTTGGCGGCGCTTTTCTCTCTCCCGCATCCGCCCTCAACCGTTCGTCCTCTATGGCGGCGGGCGAGAAAGAATTTTTGAATTAATTGAATTTCGCAGCAGATTTATTATTATGTCAGTGCTACAGAAGCCCTTTTCTCTCTCTCTCTCTCGACAAACTTTTCCCCAGCCACTGTTGAAAAAAAGGCAGGGGCGATTTGATAACTTTCCTTTCTTTTTTTCAAAGCAACTTTTTTTTAACTCGCACAGGGTTTCCCTGAAGCTATCTTGTCCCATGGATTTCACCAACTTCCCGATGGATAAACAGACCTGCTCCGTCCGCATGGCCAGCTGTAAGTACTCGTCTTTTTCCTCTTCTCTCTTTCTGCTCCGGTGAAATTGGCGTCAAGTGTGTGGTCCACATGTTGAGAACCCTTTGCCGTGCCAGAGCGCGTTTCATGCACCAACTCCTCTGGCCGCTTTTCATGTGCTTTTTACTTTTTCTCTGCAAAAGGGTCTTGACCGCATCGAGTTTCTAGAAGTCCACAAATATTTGTTTTGTAATAACATGAAAAAAATACTAAACCTACTATATAATTAATGTACAATTTAATTATGAAGACAGAAAAAATGATTTTATTTTTAATTTTACTTCATATTACTTATTAAAAGAAAATTTTTGTATTGAATTGCTTTAAAATGTAAATCATTATGTTTTAGTTTACTCACTCATATTAGATACTAAAATTGAAACAGACATTTTCTACGTATTTATTAAAATTTAAACATAATTTTGTATAAATATAAGCAGCTCTAGCTACAGATATAAATTTTTTGAATTGTAAACAATCATGAAAGGAAGCGTAACCTGAGTATAATAGTTATTAAATGTATAATCCTAATTATATATAAACAAAAAATTTTTAAACTATTATTAACACTTTTAATTGTATTAATTCAATTAATTTATTTTTATAAATAAATTTCAAAATTTTGCTATTCCATTTTGTAGACGCACACACAACCAAGGACCTGATCTTTGTTTGGAAGAGCGAAAAGCCGGTGGAGCTTCCGCAAAACGTGGACCCGAGCCCGTACTTGCTGCAGGGCATCGGCACCGACTACTGCTTCTCCAAAACCAACACCGGTGAGGAGATAAATTTAATTTCCCCCGTCGCTTTTTCTGTGCCGGGGGCGCGCAAAAAGAAATGACGAATTGCCGTGATTTGCATACGTGAATTTATTCAGGCGAGTACAGCTGCATCAAGGCGGAGTTCCTGCTCAAGCGCGAAATCTTCAACTACCTGATGCACGCTTATCTGCCCCTCGGTCTCTTGGTGCTCGTTTCCTGGATCATCTTCTGGCTGGACGAGCGCGCCACCGGGGTCAGGGTCATCGTGGCCGTCGTCACCTTCATCGCGACCATCTTCGAGGGCTCCAGGGTGGCCAGTCTGGCCCCGCACGCGTCCGACACCAAGGGCATCGACGCCTGGGTCAACTGGACGCTCTTCTTCGTCTTCTTCGCCCTCGTCGAACAGGTACGATGATTTTTTTTTCCTCCGACGGCAGAAATGGAGTGACGGGAAATTATTACCGGGCTGTCACTTCTGGGTGAATTGACAGTCAGGGGGTGGATGCCGGATTAAAGAAAGAAGGGAAATTCAAAGGGGTGAAATACGTGCGCACTCCTGCCCGTTTAAATGCTCGCTGCGTCTCACAGATCCGATTACGTGACTAAATGACTGACGAAAGGAAATTGCCCGCGTCAGGAAGAAGCCAATGAAAATCTTCCTCTGAACTATTTTTTTTTTTCAAAAGGAAAAAAGTGTCACAATGATATAAGCCACATTATATTACGATTTTAAGATTAAGCAGATAAAAATTTAAGAAAAAAATACAATTAAATATTTCCATTGTAATATTTCTACTTCAAAATTAAGGGCATTGATGAGTCACCGTTATTTGTCCGAAATTTTTTTTCTTTCAGAAAACAGCATTTTGCATTTGTCAGAAAATAAAGTGTTAGAAAATTATTCATCAGAAAAACTGTTTTTCAAATGTCAGAAATTCAAAAGTAAGAAATGCAACAGTTCGAAATTTTTTTTTTAATTTTTTTTTATTGTCTAGTATCTCTTGCAAGAGAATTCTCAGTCACTACTATTTCTTTAATGGAATCCTGAGGCAAAAGACGCTTTTTTATTGGCGATTTTAAATGTGAGTGCTCTCCGAAGGGTCAATAGCAACACGTACCGAACTCCGCCAATAATTTAAAAACTGTTTTAATAACTTTTTTGCCATCAATAAGTTTAGATTTTAGTCCACTTCACATAAATCAAGACCTGTGCGCAAGCAAAAGCTTTTTCTGATCAATTAATTTCTGATAAATGGATTTCGGTTAAGTAAAAACTGTTGTTCTGATAAATAATTTCTGATAAATAATTTTCGGACAAATGCCGAAAAAAATTTTGGATGCCTTTTTTTCTGACAATTAAGGGTTTCCCGCATTGATTTCAAATTCCGGCTATATAATGAAATTATATTATTTTTAATTTGGCGAGGGAAGAAATTTTTAATAAAAAAATTAATTAAGACTCTTTATTATTCATATTAAATGTTTTTTCTCGCTTCAGGTGGTAGTGATTTTGATTGGCACCAACGCTATTTCCACTCGCAAGCTGGCAGCTGAAGATGAAGAAGGAGGCGTTGCATTGGTAAGATAAAAAAATCTCCCCACAAGTCTCTCTTTTTGCTCCCTTTTCCTTCACTGGTCGAGTGCACACATAAAACACACGTCACTGCACTTTTAACATCCACCATTTGACATTATTATTTGTTGCTTTCGTCTCGATTGAGTTCTTCAGCTATTTTTATAGCTTTATTTTCTGAAATGAAAGTTTTAAGCTTTTGTTAATCTCCCCATTAATTTTAAAGGTGAAATTTTAATTTATTTCACAAAAGGAAAGTTAAATTAACTTTTCAACAACAAAACTGGTGCAGGAACCAAGTCAAAACTTTGCCAAAAACCCCTTTTGTTTCTAAATTCCCCTCTCGCATTTCAATTAACACTTTTGCAGCCCCTGATGGAGAACGGCGAGAAGTCTGCGGACGCCGGCGAGGTGCGAGAGGCGGCCGCCGCCACCACGGAGCCGCCGCAGAATCTCGTCTCCAAGTGGCTTTCCCGCTACAAGACCGTTGCGCGCCGCATCGACATCGTCGCCCGCATCCTCTTCCCGGTGGTCTTTCTGCTCTTCAACCTGACCTACTGGTCCTCCTACGCCGACTACGAGGGCATCGACACCCTCTCCACCTACACCAAGATCGCCTACAACTAATCAAACAAATTCTATATAAAAATTATTCCCTCGCATGCTCCTTCTTTTATAAACCATTTTTGTGTTCCTTCGTAAATTTCGCTTGCTGTTATTTTGAATCTTTGTGTGCAAGTATGGCGACTTTTAACATTCATCCAAAGTGCTGACAATAAAGAGTATTATCATGTATGACCTAAAAGTATTTTGGAGAATAACTCAATAAAAATAACCAGCAGCAGGACAACAGAATTCCATTTTTTTTTAAATCCCCCAACGGGACATAAAATAACAAAAATGAGGCCGGCCGCATTTTTTTTCCACTTCATATTCATCTATGATTTACATGCGTGGCAGCAAATAAAAGCAGAAACTCGTAAACGAGAGTAAATCCCAGGCTCTGGGAAAGTGGTCGTTACCACACAGGCCACATAGCGAATGATGACAAAAATGACGTCCAGGAAATAGTAAATCATTATGCAGAGTGGTGAATTTATTTTTTTACTCTCTTGCCCCCTTGTCTGTTATGCGACAGAAGAGAAAATCATTAAAGTGAATCCAGACTCCACAGCTTTAAATACAGGAATCTGATGCAACTTGCAAATTTCAATCTTAAAAACCTATATAATTTTTTTTCTTCGTGTAGATGGATTTTATTTAATTAAATTTGAATTATTATTTAATTATTATTACTTGAGGGAAAATTAATTAAAAGTTGAGCGGAGAAAAAAATATCTGATCCAATGGCTAGTCTTAAGTCTAAGCAACAGAAGTTTCACGTACGCTGTGTTATTTTACTTTATTGATTTTTAACTATTAAAACTGCGCGGATTAAAATAAATTGTATTTTTAGATATAAATTATTAAACTCATTAATTACCAACCAAAAATGGTAATATATTGATGATTTTAAGATGAAATTATTATAGCTTTAATAATATATTTACAAATTAAAAAATTATCATAGTGGCGCAGGCTTTGGGCCAAGATTTAAATAATTTAAAATTTTTTATTTTTTCAGCTTAAGATATAAATAATATCAATGCAGATGCAGATATTTTGAATAAGTATCAAATTTATAGTAAAAAACGGACTGAATGCTATTGCAATGTTTCCTATTTTCCATTTCGATTGAAAGCGATCGAGCACGGTGCTCTCGCGTCGCGTGTGCTAAACAAATCCAATTTACTGGATTCACTTCCTAAACGGAAAGGTGGGTTTTTCTGCGAGCGGAGGAACGTGGACGAATATTGGCCGCGATGCAGTTAAGTTTTATTTTCAGTCTCTTTTCTTTTCCCCGCGGGCCGGAAGAGCTGCGCAGGCAACATTTGCTGGCCAGAAAGAGAGCAGCTGCATGTCCCGCACTAAAATGCAAGTGGCGCTGGCCAAATGCACGCCGTTTTTACAAGCGAATGCAGATTTTGCCAAGTTACAACCCACTTAAAAATAATGTGTCAGCAAAATAGCTGCAAGCATTGGCAGATCATTGCCGCGCTTGTTCCGCCGCTCTTTGCGATTCGCCGCCGAGCTTCTCCTTCGACTAATGCATATTTTATGCACTTTGGAACCGGACCAAGAACGAAAGCGGCTTATACTTCTCGCCTCGGGGGTCTCTCTTCGCGGTTGAGAACAAGTGAAAATCACCCAGAACTGCAAAAGGAACGGTCGATTGTATTTCTTCCAGGCAACCTGCATTGCAGTCAAGCCGAGCAGGTTGCATATCTAGAAATGTTGAAATACGACTTTTTTATGAGTGGAAATCAACTAAATTTCTCTGAATTTAATTCTAAAGTTTCATTTCAGTAGTTGACTATAAAATGATACAAGGAAACATAATTTTTCCAATTGTTTTTGAAAAATTAAACAAATTTATATGTCCAAAAATGAATGTTGCATATAAAATAAGAGATTGAAAACAAATTCAGAATCTGAATTACTGATTATTTCGAATAAAATGATTATAACTAATACATGTGTTATAAACTCATTTTCATATCTTGTTAAAGTCAAAGCAACTTTTCCTCAATTAATTTTGCTTTTATTTGAGAAAAAAAACATATAATTGTGTTTCCGTGTCGAAAAATGAATTATTAGAGAAAATTAGCTGAAATTTAGAAATGAAGCGCCCCATCTATTGTTGCGTGGCGTCTCTTTGGATGAAAGAGCGATCACCGCCGCCGCACCTGTCTTCATAAATCTAATTACGCGGGCTAAAAGAGTGAATAATAAATCATTCGCCGAGGCTGTGCTTCACTTGCCGCGTCTTCCGGAGAAACTTGTTTACAACTTCTTTGCGCGACTCACTCTGGCAAATCTGACAAATTAAAGCTTCATGAATAATCAAGAGTCGGCTTCCGCCATTTTTTTCTCTCTGTTCCTTTGTCTCCGCTTTGATTCAAAATGAGGCTGCAAAACTTTTAAAATGAAAGGAAGCTTCATTGTCTCAGCTCCCATATCAGGAAAAAATATTTTGGGTTGCTCGAGCGCGTTGTGATATATTTGAAAAACGTTTTCGTTGAGACGGACAAAGAAATTGAGTGACGGACAAAAGAAAATGCTAGGATTATGAAAAATGAACCCTTTAGCCAGATATTATCTTGTCTGTTGATCCAAATCTGAAATGTTTATATTTAAAATAATATTTAATTAATGCTTGAACTGATATTTAAAATATAACACAATTTAAATATGTATATATTATTTTAAATTGAATGAAAAAGTCATTTTTTTTTTTCATTTTGACCTACAATTATTTGGATTGAGTGGAGTATTTTCATACACAAAGCGCCCAGAGAATGTAAATGAGCTGGAAAAAAATATGAAGACATCGAGAAAAAAAGGCCGTTAACACGACCATTAACAAGGGGAGGCGGTGCACAGGCTGATGTATCCATTGCCTGACCTTTTTCCTCTTTCTCTCGCAGCTCCCAATTCTGGACTAAAATCGTGCATGCAGACACGCAGCCAGTAAAATCGCACCCGAGCCAAATGGTCGAACCATCCATGGGCGGGCAGGGACTTTATCAAAAGGTTATACTTTTCATTTCCGAGCTATTTCCTTTCGACGGATACGCCAGTGGAAAGAAGTATTATTTTCGGTGCAGGTGCCTCAATTTAAATATCTGTATGGCTGCCCATACCAGTGGAAATGAATAGGCGATATTCGTAAGTGGGACCAAATTCACACCAACACGAGAGCAATTGAGAATAAAATAAAAAATATATTTCCTGAGAATTTTGTTGTAACCAGGAAACTTTTTCACAAAAGTTTTAATTCAGTTATTATTTCTCTTTATTTATTTTTGAAAGTAGGAAATAATTCTATTTCTAAATATCCTGAAAATATATCAGGGAAAATAATTAACACACCAAATCAGTACATTTTCTACAGGCAAAGCATAATATTATATGTCAGAAGAATTCATTTTAATGTGCAATTTGCAGAAACATCAACATTTTTTTTTTGTATACCAGCAAAACATAGCAGTGGGCAGATGTCAAGTTCGTTTAGCGCACACTTTGCAGTGACATGACGAGATAACGAATCTGAGTTTTATGCGAAACGCTGAAAATGTTATGGAGCGCGACGCAGTTTGTCGCGCGGCCGACTACGATAATGTTTCCGGCCGCGAGAGCCAGCCGCGATTTTTTTTCGCCCTTTGCGCTCGTTATCCCCATTAGCATACGGACACAGCTAGAGAGGGAAAAACGTTAGGTCCGAAATGCGACCGCTGGCAAAAAAGACGGCGAGTGGCCAGTAATCTGAATAAAAGAGGCGAATGGGCTTTGTCAGTGGTCGGATGGATTTCGATGGTGTGTGCATTTTTTTTCACATTTTTGACAGCGTTTTGAGATGTAACTAACAAGCATCAGGAATTATAATCATGTTCTTTTGACAATACTAAAAAGAGAGATCCCCCTCCTATGGGATAACATATTAAAATTTTGTTTGTTTGCATGGATCGATTTTTTTTAATTTTCAATTAGCACTGAATTCTGACCTTCATTATTTATTCATTTTTTTTTTAATTCTAGAATTAAAAAATCCATTAATTTTTAATCCCTACTAGGATTTATCAGTGCATCTAACTGCAATTAAAAGTATAATGTTGAAATTTAGGACTACTAACACTGTTACAATTCACAATAGATGTAGAGTTGAAACAAACAAAAATTCAAAATAAAATACATCTTTAAATTTATTGATGTAAATTCCATTTTTGTTTGTTTAAAAAAAAGCGCTGATCGAAAAAATCTACAGCTCACATAAGAATCTGCTTCTTGACAAGCAGCCAAAGTCATTCCAACCGCGCTGATCTCTCAAAAAAGAATTGTAATGGAGGCAGTTCTCGTTGCCGCCTGCATTATTAGGCTCTTGCGATGAGTTATTATATCTGGCGTAATCGTTGTAGTCAATTTTCTGTCCACTAGTTGCCCAATAAAAGTCACTCTCGGATCCAAGGTCGGTACCAGAGAACCAAATTGTTCCCTCTATGTTAGCTGCAGAAAATAAAGCTCGATAATGCATATGTTAATGGCTATAAATTTTGCCAGTTAAAAAAAAAACAGATTCAGCGTTCCATAAGAAAGGTGAGGTATATGATTATTGTTAATATAAATGGGATGTTGAAAATTTATGTTAATTATGCATCAATTTATAATTGTGTTTTGGTATAATTTATAAAAAATATACCTATCAAGGCCTTCAAGTCATCATTCTTTTGCTTGTTGTCCGGAGTGGCTAAATTCAAACCGTTTAATTTGCAGAGCTTCCACGCCATAAACCAATTTGCCTAATTATAAATTATATTTGTTGTGTTACAAAATCATAAAAAAATATTATTTTACAGTTTCGCCTTCGGAGCTCAGAAAGTATTTTCCAGTCGGACGGGTCACGAGCTTGCGCCCATATTCACTGTCCGGAACAGCTGATAAAATATTCAGTATTATTTCATTATTATCTCAATTATTATTATTATTACGTTTTGGTTGATTGATAGAAGTCTGATTTAACCTTTCCAATAAATCATTCAGAAGTTCTTCAAAATCTCCGCCACCACCTTGAAGTCTGAAAATATCAAAATAAAAATCTAAATTTAAATATATTTTACTAAAAAATATGCGCACTTCAATTCGCAGATTTGGTCTTTATACTCTTGCTCTTTTATTAAACAGAGTTTTTCCTTCTCGCATTTTCCAACTTTCAACTCGCAGATTTCAGTCACACTGGTCAGTGAAAGTTGCCCCACCGTCCTATCGTCTGCCAGAATGTCCGTCAAAGCTTTCAATTTTTCCTCCGCCTGCTTCACTTGCTGGTCACAAAGTGCCTCTTGGGAGCTATTTTAAAATTATTATTTATTTTATAGAAATAAAAAATGTGAAAATTAGAGCTACCATCCTGTTGGAGGATCTTCGGGCACCTGAAAAGCGTTTTGAAATTGAAAAGAATTTTGGAAGTTATTTCAAAATTAAAACCTGTGCTTCGTGGTCGTCAACTTCAATATTATCATCCAATAGCTCCAAAGGATTGGCCCTTGTAAGACAGAGTCCAATGATAAATACGAAAATTCCTTTCTGCATTGTTGGTTCTTCAAAGAGAGTAGATTCGTGAGTGTGTAGAAAATTGTTAACTCGCATTTATATCGTTTTTGATGACAATAAATTTGTTTATTATTGCAATAAAAATTTTTATGATGCTCCACCTAAAAACAATTCGGATGAATCAGAAAAGCTTAAAGAATCACAAGAAAGGGAACGTTATCAATGATTTATATTACAGGAGAACAAACACTGAAATTTGTTTGAGGTTTTTGCTTTTATTTTTCTCTCTTTATAGATAAAAAAACAGACAGTGTGCCTACCAAAAAAGAATATTATTATTAAAATTAAACACGTAAGAATTATCATTGTCCAATCTCCATGTGAGCCTTCATATGAAATATCAATGTCTCATAATAAAGTAATAACATCTCTACTTACAGTTATTGTAAGTAATTAAAGTTTACGCTCAAATTACATTTTATCATTAAAAATAACGATGTTAATAAATTTCCAAGGCTCTTTGCTTATTTATTTATTTATTCTCCATTCAGATACAATATGAAAAACACAACATCTTAATTACATCAAGTCTTTGGTTTGCTTAATTTTTTATCTTTAATTATTTTTATTATTATTAATTTACTTTTTTTATAAAAAATTTGCACTTCTTTATTGTTTTTTTTTCTTGGGGTATGGAGGGCAGCATAAATATAAAAAACACTGAAAAGCATTGCGCTGTGCAAGTATGTCATTTATAGCTCTGACGTTAAACACATACGTACCAAGAAAAAGTATAAATGAAATTATCAAATCCATAATTGTAAAGTAATTTAAGTTTATTTGTGAATAGCGCCATCATTAAAATAACGCTAGTAAAATTTAACTTCGTTTGTTTGATAAGATCCATTGCGAATCATGGCACTTATCTCTTGATGCCCTGCAATTTAATACAGTTCGGCTTTTTGTGTTATCTAATTTCGCACTAATTTATTGTCCCGCAGCAGTAAATTCAGCACGGTATATAAATGGAGGTGGGAAAAATTGTGCCACACTTTACAAGAGCATCTGGATTTATTCAGTAATCAAAAATGCTGTGGAAAAGTTTTGCACTTTTCATCGGCATCTGCCTAGCTCAGGGTTCTGCACAGACACCACAGGGAGAAATACAGGTTTGTTTTTTGTTTCTTCCAAAATAATAAACTTTAAATATATTTTTTAATTTATGTTTTTAGTTGACATCGATAAGCCTCCCCACGGAATGGTATTTATTATTCATTACGATAATTATTTTATAAAAAATATATCCAATGTTAAAATTTTTGCGAGCAGTGTAATGGACCCGTTGCAAAAGCAGTTGTGCGACTATCGAGTGCAGTTGCTGGAGGAAAAATCGAATGTCGTGGCGAGTCTAATAGAAGCGGAAAGATCAAAGTGGAAAATCACCATAGACAGTTTGACTGAAAACTGTGATTTGGAGGCGGCTATAATTGAGGAGGAGATCAAGTGCCTTAAGAAAGAGCAAACCCTCAAAGACTTAATTTGTGATATGAAGTATAAATGTCTTTTAATCATTTGATATTTATAAATATTTGAATATTTTAAAAGGTTGAAAGAGAGAAATAACGGCACGGATTATGTGGACCAACGCTTGCAAGATTTGTTAGAAACAATCAACAAGACGATTGTGGACAATAATAAACGTAAAGAAATAATTAATAATTGCAATTTTTTTTCTAAAAAGAAAATATATTTTAAAACAGCTGATCTTCCGCAAGGGGAATACGCCAAGAAGCTTGTGACGCGCCCAACAGGCAAATATTATTTGAGCACTGTGCAGGTGAGAATCTTTGAATTTCTCTTGTATTTTTAAAATTTGTAAATATTTTGATTTTAGGTGAACTGGCACATGGCGTGGAAGTTATGCCATCAAAATGGCCTTCAATTGGCCACTCCAGACACACAGGCGAAAAATAATGACTTGCTAGAATTAATGGGTAATTAATTACATTCAATAAATTTTTTTATCCATAAAAATTATGCTATTAATTTAACTCAATTCCTTATAAAGCTGGCAGGGGCCAAAGCGGTGACTTCTGGTTTGCCGGCACAGATTTAGGTTCAGAGGGCCAATTTTACTGGTACACAAATGGAAAACAAGTTGGACCATTTCATTATTTCCCGAAGTTCAACGAGACTCACGACAGGGAGCCCAACAACGCGTTCGGCAATGAAAACTGTCTCTGCTACACTGCAAGACTCTCCGGCACTAATGGTCGCGTTTGGAATGATGTGGACTGCTTAGGTACTGGATTGAGGTTCATTTGTGAACTTGCCTCCTAAGTTTAAATTGACTTAAGCTAACAATCGGCCCAAATATAAAATAAATAAATAAAGTGTTGATAACAAAAAATTTGAAGTGAATAAGGATTTTTATGCACATCAAATTTTTTTAAAACTTAATTTTAATAAAGCGTCAAAGCTAGAAAACATAAGAAATTTTTTTCGTGAAATATAATTGTAGTGAATGTATTATTTTGTCTATTATCTGATAAACTTGCTCCACAGTAGAGAACGAGTTTGAAATAAATTAAAAAATAAGAATTTCACAGCTAGCAAAAGATCTAAAAGCATTCTTCTAATTGCCTTTTTCAGAATCGGATTAATTATTTTGAGTTTTGAACGATTTGGCCAAGTTTTGCCCAAAAAATATGAAATAAAATGTAATCTGCTTGAAATTGAATTAATTATTCCAAAATAAAACAGTTTTATTATTATTATTATTATTGTTTATTCTTCTCGGTCAATACAAAAATTTAAATTGGAAAAAAGAGAAGAAAGGGTTTACAACTAGCAGATGTCTGCTAAAACGCCCGACATCAAAACATCTTTTCTATAATTTTATTAAATTATTGCAGCAAACAGCATATCGCTGCCAAAATTTTCTAATTATTTCAATAAAACCAAGCGAAAAAACAGTCTGTAAATTGTCCTAAACGACTTTTTTTTATCATGTAACAAAGATATATAAAATGAAATCTTAAAAAAAGTTTCGGTTTATCAAATTTATTTCCTCAAACATGGATAAAGTTAATTTCAAGTTTTTCTTATTTATTTATTTATTCTCCATTCAGATACATGAAATACACAACATCTTACATCAATTACATCAATAATTTCATATAGATTTGGAGATTTGGTAAATGAAGAACAAAAATGATTAAAATATAATGTGAAATTTTCTATTGCAAGAGCCTCTTGCAAAAATGCCCCTGAGTTGTTGAATAATAAATCCATACCAATTTTCCATTGTATCAGTTATATTGTTTAAAATTACCACCACAGTCAAGAGCAAACTTGACCGTAATAATGTTGTGCTTGACTAAATTATGTCGCAAAATAATACGTTGCACGGTCCAAACATCAATATCACCGGTGCATGCAAATTTATTAACCTGCCAGTTATATTTGGATGCAAATATTGATAGAGTACTTCTCGTATTACCAACATTACAATGCCTCCGAATAATATTCGCGCGCTATCCAATTTCGCAATCAGCATGCATGCCATTCTCCCTAATGAATTTGATCTCGCCAATTGTGACGCCGAACATTGGCCATAATTATCGGTCGCCGCTTTGAAGTCTGCCACTGCAGCTTTTGTGATTGCGAAACATTTTCCGACGGCGCCTTTGTGTCCGCGCGCGCGTTTCAATCAGTGCGATTTCACGATTCGTAATTGAAATTAATCGCTTTTTACTGCGCGCCTCACGCGGATGATTCGATTTTGCCTGATGAACTTTCCGAGTGATCGAAGCGAAAATCCATCAATTTTTGCATCTGACTTGATGTGATGAATTAATAGTTCTTACAAAACTTTGAATTTTTATCAAGTTTAAATTTTCTTTTTGATATTTGAATCGTAATTTTGAAATTATTGTTTGAAAAGTAAAATTTCGTTCGTGATGATCATGTCTCTGGCACACTTTTTCGTTTCCTGGAAAACGCACTGGCAGGAAGGGAAAAAATGGCTCAGCTTCAACCGTGCGTGTTTGAAATTTCACTTGGGCCGTGGTACGCTTTGTCAGTCAGCAGACAGAAATCTGAAGGCCAGTGCCAGTCCAGAAGACAGATAGGCTGCATTATTTTTGACTGCGTCTGCTGTGCTGGCCTCTGCGAGAGAAATTGATGGGGCACCGCTTAAAAAGCGCCCTGCCTTTTCACTCTCTCTTTTTTAAGATAATTCTCACGTAAATGCTTCCTTGCCGATTTCTCAGAGACGTCCGTCAGTCCATCCGTCTGGCCTCTATTTTATAAATTGTTTTCGCGCCCAGGATGTGGTGCAAAAAGGGTTACGGCGGGTGCAAATCGACCGCAATGCAGGGTCATACTTCAGAAGCAGCCGGATGAGTGGCGGCAGAGTGAAATCAATCTTCAATTTTGTTCTATTAGAAGTTGCTCGAAAAAGTTTTGAACAGTATTTTTTGTAAATTGTATTTTCTTCTTTTTGTATGATGTTTAATAAATATTTAATGAGTTTCGTTCTATGTTAGCATTTAAAGATTTAAAGTAAGAATACGTTAAGTAAAATTATATAAATTTAATAAAATTTTTTTACTATATAAAGCAATATTTTTCAGTTTAATTTAGTTTTATTTCATTTTTAATGCTATAATTATTTTAAACTAAATCATTACTATTAAAGTAGAAAATAAATAAATAATGACTTTACAGCTTATAAATTTAGGCAGCAAATCAACAAATTTTTCTGTCATTTTATTAAAAAGTATCTTTGGTCATTGTAATAATATATTAAATGTTACTATATCAATGCTGATGATCGATCTAAGATATGGAGCCCTTCGAGAACTAATTGCACAAGAATATATCAAATATATATTAAACTAGAACAGCATATTGTCCTATATCATTTTAGATTTCTACATTCAAATTTATAATTGGGTAACAAAAACTCAATTTTGTTATTTTTCACTTGCAGAAACATGTTTATATTTAATACAAATTTTAATATTAGATTGAATCAAGATTTTTCGAACAGAAACCCTGCAAGAATGGTGACCATCTAAGAATCTCGGATGTTTCATTCTAATCATTGCGAACTACCTTTTTTTTTAATTTTTTTCACCCTCACCCCTGCACCACAGTCACCCTTAAGGGGGTCCCGACCTGATAAAAAGTGTTTCTGGTGACCATCTTAAAATCTCGGATGGATCATTCTGAACATTTTGAGCTACATTTTTTGATAAGTTTTTTTAAACCCCTCACAATGAATATTTATTTAATTTTCACTAGCGATTAAAATAGATTAAAAGTGATTATTTGTCGATTATTTTGGGGGTAAAAAGTCGCATAAATAATCGATTTTTTTAATTTTAACATCGATTATTTCCCCATCCCTTGCTAGAAATTCCCTACGTTTGCGAATAAGACTCGTGTTCATACTTTCGTAGCAAGCGTGGAATTTTTTGTGCGATCTGTTGCTGCAATTGATATTCCGATCTCTCGCGACGAGAGAGTGTCGTTTCTCCTCGTCTCGTGTGATGCTGCGAGGGAGTTGGACCATATTGTGTGCGTAATAAAAAGAAAACGAATCAATCAATCTCCGCACTGCGCGCTACACTCGGTGTAACAATGGGGCGAAAAGAGTGAAAGAGCCGCTCGAGCAGAAGTGCGGATCTTGATGGTGTTGGACCGAGCCGAAGAGAGAGAACGGCGCGTTCGTTCCTCCAGATACGTGAGCTGATGCACAAACAATCCGCCCACCCACCCATTACCGACCCGACTCTCGCCCGTGCCCACCCTTAATGCGGACACGGAATTTATGATTGCATTGTTGGCAAATTTGCATGCATAAATTTGGACTGGATGGAAACGAAAAAATTGGGTGAAGCAAAATACGAGAAAAAAGGGATGAGCAGGGCCTGCTTTTCGATCTTGTAGGAAATGAAATAATTTTTTTCCCGTAATGGTAAATGAAATCTGAAAATTTATAATTCGATGCATTTCTTGCATTCTAGAAGTAAAATAATTTAGTTGGATAGAATTACAATAATTATCACTAAAAAACAACTGAAGTGCAAATATATGAATAAATAAATTAGTAATATAAATAAATAAACAAGCAAATAAATGAGTTAATAAATAAATTAACAAAACAATATAAAATTTACATTATTTTAAATTGCGAATCAATCAATTGCAGCATTTAAAATATTTATAACATTTAAAAAAAAACCTTAACAAATCAGTCATCAAGATTTAAACGTAGAAAAAAGCTTTTAAAATAAAGCATAAGTCCACATTTCTAAAGTCACCTTATTATTTTCAAGGTCTCTAGACAAAATCGTGGCAAATAAGAAACGAATAAGATTTAAAAAGCGTTGTTTAATTTGATAATGATTTATCCAATCCTTTTCTATACCTCAATTAAAAGTGGCTCTTTGGATGTAGTGCGCTGACAAGTTATCTGAGAAAGAAATGAAGCGAATCTTTTTTTTTTTTTTTTTTTTTTTTTTTTAAATTTTGGGGTCCAAAAATTTCAACCGTTTCAGCTTGATTTGACTACCAAACCTCAGTCATCCAGATCTCTTATTTCAGTTATTTCTCTTTCTTTGAAAGGGAAATCAAATATAATTTAATTATATATTTTTGTCTTTACTTTTCTCATTAATTTTCTTTCTTATTTTTCCCCCAATTTTGTACAGAAAGAAATTTTATTCTTTTTTTTTATTTTGACTTCATTTTTGAAGAATAAAGAAGAATGATGAAATTTAAATAATAAGTATTTAAATTTTTATGTTATTTACGACAGCGATAATTTTTGGTTTGATTTTTAATTATTTGAAAATAGAACCTGTTTTATTATAAATTTACAGCACAAATAAAAATAAACATAATTATTTAACAAAAAATTCAACAGTAAATCCTTAACACCAATAAAATATCAAAATCTGACCTTCCCCTACCCCAACCTAATCCACATCCTTTCTTAATATTTTTACTCTTTTTTAGTTGTCAGCTTTCTTTGTCATCATCGCGTGGACCAAAAAAAGGATATGCCAGCAAAAAAATGATGAGTTTTTAATAAAATTAAACCAAAATAAAAAAAATAATAATAGGCCATTTCCAAATCAATCTGACCAGTGTTTGGCATGGGTTGTTGGATTTGGATGAAACTTGGCATGGCGATACCCTTAGGGTAGGTGGTCAACCTAAGGTATATAGTTAGTCCAATATCGCAACATTGCCTATTTTACAGGGGCTCAAAGTGGCGATTTTTGCAAAAATAAAGTTTCCTTTAATCTAAATTATCTCGGGTTCTAGTGAAACAATTTCAAAAAACTTGACACCGTTTGAAAGCCAATAAAATGGACTTGAATTCGGCTATAAGCGTCAAGGTCGCAGGTCAAAGTTCAAGGTCACTAAAATTTTGATGAAATTTTAAAAATGCCGCCAGATATTGAAGGACCAAAAATATTTAAATCTTTTCCACAGGAAAAATGTTCCAAATTTAATTTTACATCGGTGTACAAATTTTGGTGATATGTATTTTCTTTGTTTTTGAGATATCTACAGGGGAAGTTCAAAAAACGTGGTTTTTTGGCCCTTTTTTGAGGTCGTAAAATTTTAAACGCCTCTAATTTTGCTAAATTTGCCATAAAATTAAGCAAATACACTTCAGGAATGAGGAACTATCATATATAATGCAATTCTATGATCAGAGTCGATTTTGAAATCCACCCCTACCCCTGGGGGTGGGTTTTGGGGTTAATTTTAAATATGCCCAATGTATGTGTTTTTGATGTCGTTTCCTATGTTTTCGACATCCAGGAACACGAATCTGAAGTCAGTTTTTGTTTAAAGTTAATAGCTTTATTAATAATCGCAGTTGAATGAGGCAAGTTTGATTGTCCGACAAATTGCGAGGAGCTGAGAACTCACTGCATTCAAGTGAAATTATTGATGAGGCTATTGACTTTAAACAAAAACTGACTTCAGA